GGTGGGGCCCTGAGCACTGCTGCGGGGCGGGGGCGGCCAGGAGGGCATGCTCCTGGGGAGGGATAGGAGGAAGAGCCCCTCCTCCCCAAGACCCTAGGGACCAAGGGTCCCTCCCAGCCCCGACAGTCCTCGTCGTCCTGGAAAACTCGCGTCTGGGCTCAGGGTGCGTGACTGAGGCCCCGTCCTGCCCAGGATGCACCTGAGCTGCTGTCACTCCACCTCCTTCCGCAGCCGAGTGAGCGGACCACGCGTCCAGGCCGCGCGGTGAACACACTACTGAGGGCTCTTCCTTGGGCACTGGCCCAGCTGGAGAGGCCCACGCACCGGGCCCGGCTGTGGGCTGGGAGCTCCCTCAGCTTCCACTCTGCTGCTGCTCCTGGTCTCAGGAGAGGAGGGACCCTGGGCCCTGGGGCCGCCCTCCCAGGCCTTGTCTGTCTCGGTCCTTTTGTCTAAGTTGCACAGTTTTTATCACCCCCCTCCCCCCGCTTTTTGTAGTGGGCTGGGTTTTAAATTATAAATTTTAACTGCCTCTGGGTAAAAAAGTTTTTAATAAACACCTTATTACCTCTTCACTGGTCCACTGGCTTGAATTTTGTAATGGTGCGGAAATTTTCCACGTAAAATGGACACAATCTTCAGCTGGTTCTTTGCCTTTGCCCCCCGGGTTTGTCCCCGGACCAGGCTGGCGCTCAGGGGCATCTGCTGCTTAAGCCGTTTGAGTCAGAGCAAACTGGACCTGGCTGGCTGAGCACTTCTGTGCATCTGTCTGACTGCATCCCTGGATCAGGGCAGCGGGAGTCCCCTTACTGTCGGAAGGGAAGACCCCCACAGTGTCTCAGACCTGCTGGCTCCTCCACACTTCAGGGAAGGACTGAGGTGCTGCCGAGGGCGGGGCAGTGCCCCCAGTGAGGGGCTGGCGCAGACGGCTGTCAGCATCCTCATGTACCAGAGCTGTGATTTGACTTGGGCTGTATCTTTGCCCTCCTGTCTTTGTTAAGCACCAACTATGTGCCAGGTGTTTGGTGAAGCGGGCTAGGGAGACCATTCTTCCCAGAGGACGAGAGGACAGCGGCATGTGAGGGGCTGGTCTGCTGCTGTGGGAGCCAGTGGAGGGCTGGGCGTGGCTGACAGGAAGCGAGAAGATGAGACCGGCAAGCCGCCTCGTGAGCGAGGGCACTGTCGTGTGCACAGGAGCCCGCCCCAGCCTCGGAAGGGAAGGGGCCTGTCGGAAGGACACCGAGCAGCTCACAGAGCAAAGGATGGATGCAGCGTGGGAGCATCCTACCCACCCACTCTGCAGCCAAGCATGTCCAGCTCAACAGTCTGGATTTTGGCCCTGGCGGGTTTGGCTCAGCGGTTAGAGCATCGGCCTGCGGTCCAGAGAGACCCGGGTTCGGTTCCCACTAAGAGCGTGTACCTCGGCTGCAGTTTGTCCCTGACCCTGGTTGGGTCATGCAGGTGGCAGCCACTCGATGTGTCCCTTTCACATCAATGTTTCTGTCTCTCTCTCTTCCTCTCTCTCCCTCCCACTCTATCTGAACAAAAAATGGAAAAATGTCCTCGGATGAGGATAAAAAAAAAAGTCTGGATTTTGGAACTTGGGCCATTTGAACATCCCTTGTTTCTCCTTAGAAGGGGGTGAGGGTTTACTGAGATGGGAGCCACAGAACCACGAGGACTGGAAGGAAGTTCCCCAAAGGGAGGAGGAACGCTGTCCCTGAAAGAACTAGAAAAGGAAAGAGAGGATGCTGAGCAGATTTTTTTAAAAAGTCACAGTCTGGCCGGTGTGGCTCAGTGACTGAGTGTCGAACCACGCAGCAAGAGGTCGTCAGTTCGATTCCTGGTCAGGACACATGCCCAGGTTCTGGGCCCAATCCCCAGTGGGGGGCATGCAGGAGGCGGCCAATCAATGTTCTCTCTCATCGATGTTTCTATCGCTCTCTCCCTCTCACTTCCTCTCTCTCTAAAATCAATAATGGAAAAAAAATTTTTTTTTAAAGTCACAGGCCCTGGCCAGGTTGGCTCAGCAGTTGAGCGTTGGCCTGCAGACCAGAGAGTCCCAGGTTTGGTTCCCGCAATGGGCACGTACCGCCAAAAAATATATATAATAATAAAATAAAATTTAAAAAGTCACAGACGGGAGTGAGTGCCGCAGACCCTAGGTTAGGTCTGGACTGTATTCTGAGGCAAGGGAAACCTCTGAAGGGCTTTAAGGAAGTTTCAGGATGACTAGAAGACCTCTGTGTTTGATCCCGGTAAGTCCCACTGGTGTGATCACTCACCTGCTCTGCCTGTTTTCTTCTGGATAATGGGATGATAATAGTATTCCCTCAGGGTCTGCTGTGAGGTTCATGTGAGCCCAGGAGGGTAACCTGGTTGGCTCTTTGGTCCTCAGTCTATAGGTCAGAGGATCACGCACCAAAAGTGGGTGCCAAGACCTGGCCAGTTTGGCTCAGCAGTTGGAGTGTCGGCCCGTGGACTGAAGGGTCATGGGTTCGGTTCCTGTCAAGGGCACGTACCTCAATTGCAGTTCAGTCCCCTGCCCTGGTCGGGGTCCTGTGGGGGGCACCCAATCGATGTGTCTCTCTCACATCAATGTTTCTCTCTCTCCTTCCCACTCTATCTGAAGATAAATCGAAAAGTATCCTCGGGTGAGGATTAAATAAATAAATAAATGAAGTGGGTGCCAAGAAGGGAGTGGGCAGACCCACCTGGAGAGCTGGACAGCAACCCTGATGAGCCTCTGGAGAATTGTATGTTGTTTTGTTTTTTTTATCCTCACCCGAGGATATTTTTCCATTTTTTGTACAGATAGAGTGGGAGGGAGAGAGAGGAAGAGAGAGAGAGAGAGAAACATCGATGTGAAAGGGACACATCGAGTGGCTGCCACCCGCACGACCAACCAGGGCCAGGGACAAACTGCAACCGAAGTACGTGCCCTTAGCGGGAACCGAACCCGGGTCTCTCCGGACCGCAGGCCGACGCTCTAACCGCTGAGCCAAACCGGCCAGGGCGAATTGTATGGTTTTTGATGGCCAGTTTTAGGGAATTTACAGCATTAAAAAATTTTGTTGTTAATCCTCACCCAAGGATATTTTCCCATTGATTTTTAGATAGAGTGGAAGGGAGGGAGGGAGAGAGAGAAACATCCATGTGAGAGATGTTTGCCTCCTGCACGAACCCGACCAGGGCCGGGGATCAAACCTGAAACCCAGGTATATGCCCTTGATCAGGAATTGAACCCAAGACCTTTTGGTGTTTAGGCCAAAACTAACCACTGATCAAACCAGCCTGGGCCAGGGCAGCTTTGCTTCCATTTTAATCCAGTTAGCCAGGCTGGCTCGCAAATGGACAAGTGACATGAAGTTTCCTGCCAAGAAACCAAGAACTGAAGATATTGGTAATAATGCAAGCACCAGTAAGTCAGAGGAAAATGGCACAGCCGGCACTTCGTGGCTTAGGGACGCTTCGTGGCTTAGGGGCGCTTCGTGGCTGCAGCAGCAATCTGGCTAATCGGGCTGAACTAAACAAGAAGTTGGTAACAAATACACACACACTCCTGAAATGATCACTAAGACTCACTGAAAGATGGATTTAGATCCGCACTCATTAAGGACAAGCTTTGTCTTAAGCTTGCTGGCTGATGATGGTGGTGGTTCGCATATCTCAGTTCTAGGACAACATTCTCACAGTGGGGTAAGATCAATTTTTACTGATTGCGACGCACAGATGGGAGGGCTTGGCATTCTATGGGAAGTGGGTCGATGGAAGCCGGGCTGACACGGAGAGGGGGTCCTTCCAGCAGCAGTGCAGGGAGAGGTGATGTTAAGTGGCATAATGGAGGCTGAATTGACAAAGACAGTCACCATGGAGAAAGTGAGTGAATGCGGTAGGGGGTAGGGTCACTGCTCATTCCAGGGCCTTGGAGATGTACTATAGCAGCTGGACACCTGGTCTTGAGACTTAGATCTTCAGCATCCAAAGGCGGAAGCCTTAGACTTGGAAGTCAAGTAGATCCAACCCTTGAACAGTGGCTTTGCGTGATTGGCTGTGTGACCTTGGGTAAATGACCTCACTCCCGTGCCTTGGTTTACTTATCTGTAAAATGGGACATAATAATAGAGCCTACCTCAGAGGGTTGTAAAGGTTAAATGAGAGTCTATAAAATCGCAGTAAACACCCAACTATAGGAGGTGAAAGTTGTTGGTGGTGGGTGAGGCCGGAGAGGAAGAGATGGTTCCTGGAAGGAGGGAGGAAGTGGAGTCAGAAGAGGGCTGGCCCATACTGGAGGAGTTTACAGCACGTGAGGGAATGAATGAGGAAAGGAGGAGGAAGAGAGGAGAGAGAACTGGTCTAGGGGGTGGGGCTCCAGGGAGGGGCAGGGGCAAGTTGACCAGTTGAAAGTGTACATTTACCTGCTGTGCTGTTTTCTTTCGATCATATTTCACAATCTAAAAGAACAACAACAAAAACGAACAAAACTCACGTGGTGCTTGATGTGTGCAGTCAGCCGGGTCCCTCGCCTTCTACAGCAATCCAGGGGGCTGAGGAGAACGGGTGCCCCTTGAGCCCCAGGGACTAAGACAGCTCAGACGGGTTCTTTGGGCACCCCTCAATCCCTGCTCGGCAAACAGTGAGGCAGCAGCTGAACATGGGCCCCTCAGTGTGGCGCCGTGCCAGGCTGGCCTAGCTGGCAGCGACGCCCTGGTGGAACAGTTGCCCTGTCCCCGGCCTTTGCCCACAGCTGCAGCATCTCCTCTTTCCTGGGCGGCCTCTGCTTCATTGTTATTCGAGGGGTCAGGACCCACAGCCACTTGCATTATTGATGTTCATGCATAAAGCCGGAGACACAGGAGTGGAGGGGGGTTGTTGAGCCTGTAGACCCCGCGGAGCAGAACCAGGTGGTGCACTTCGGAGGACTGAAGGAGCAGGCGGGCGGCCAGGCCAAAGGGAAGGGAGGGGACGAAGGCACCGGGAAGCCCCTCTTCACTGGGCCGGCCATGGGTGGGAGAAAGGGCAAAGCGCCCCCGCGGCCGGAGGGACCGCAGAGGCTGAACTCAGGGAAGCAGGAGGCCGGGTCGGCCAGCGCCGATGGCGCGCCCAGCGGGGAACGCCGGCAGGGTCGTGGTAAGGCCCGAGGATCGAGATCGGTCTTGGAGCCCGCCACCACCGGAGGCCAGGGGACCCCTGGTGGCCGCAGGAAGCCCACGGCAGAGGGGAACGGCAGCTGCAGACGGCCAGGGGCTGGGCCTCCACCAGCGGCCCCGGGGAGACAAGGCAGCGGGAAGCGACGGGGACGCGGGTCTAAGGAGAGCCGCAAGCCGGGGGACAGCCGTGGGGGGCGCCTGGAGGAGGACAGTCTCTCCCGAGGGGAGGGGAGATCGGGCGCGCACGGGCGCCGCAGGAGGAAAGGAAAAAGGCGGGGACCCTCGGCAAGGCGGGGCCGCCGTGAGCCTCTGAGCCTCGATGGGGACACGTCGGGCGGAGACCGGGGCAGCTCCTGCCGGGACAGCGAAGCCCGCGAGGGGCAGGAAAGCAGCAGCCAGAGCGGCGGGGCTTCGGAGCTGCGCCCCGACTCAGAGCAAACGGACACGGGCTCGGGGGGCACCCAAGCCCGGCCAGAGCCAGCGCTGGAGCGGAGCGAGCACCCGAGCAGCGACGGCAGGAGCAGCAACGAGCCCCACTCCGGGTCCCGGGGCCAGGAAGGGTGGTGGGGCACGGGGCGCCAGAGAGCGACCGAAGGTTCCGGGACAGACACGGACTGGAGTCCGGAGGAGGCCCCCGGACGGGGCCCCCGGGCTGCCCCAGGAGCCGGGAGCCGGGCCACGGAGGCCGAAGAGGCTGAGCCTCGCAGTAAAGTCACGACCTCCAGCCCCCTCGAGGGCAGTCCCGCAGGCGTCCCCAAGAGCTCGCGGGCTTGTCCTGGCCCCAGGCCGGCCGGGGACACACGTGACAAGGGGGCGCAGCCTGAGGCCGAGCCGCAGGGCTCCGAGCCCGGAGGAGCCGAGGCCTCGACCGCCAGGGCCCCGCGCCAGGTCGGAAAAGTGTTGGGGAAGGTGCAAGCGGCGGCGAGCGAAGCAGAGGCTGGAGGGGAAGCCGGGTCCGGGGACCCAGCGCCACTGGCCGCCCTCGTGGCGCTCCAGAGGCTCCGCGCGAGGGCCCCACCGGGCCCCACTCCCGAGGCCGCGGGCGCCCGTGGCACCGGCCTCAGAAAGAGGCTCCTACGCGTGGCGCGGGCCTTAGGCCTCCTGCGGTGGCTTTGGCGTCTGCTCCGGCTGCGCGCCAGCGACGGGCAGGGGACCGAGGCGCCGGCCAGCGCGAGGGACGGGGCGGGGCCGCGGGCGGGCGAGGGGCGGGGTCGCGGTCCCGGGCTGCGGCGCCGTCTAGGGCTGCGCCTGGCGGGCGTGGTGGGGCTGGGGGTGCGGCCGAGGGCTCCCCCTGGCGACAGCCCGAGCTCCCCGCAGGCGGCGAGGAATCCAGCCTGCCACGACCCTTCTAAGGACGAGGACCCGGCTCCGGACCCCAAGTTCGCGGTCGTGTTCCCCAGGATCCACAGGGCAGGAAGGACGTCGAGTAGCTGGGGCTCAGAGGAGGCGCCTGCCGACGCCCCCGCTGGGGAGGGGCCCGTCGGGCCTTGTGCAGGGGCCTCGAGGGACAGTGAGGAGCACAGAGCGAACGGAGAAGGGGTGGCCGGGCCCTGCCGCGGCTCTCTCCTCGGCCGGACGCCCCCCGACGAGCCCCCCCTGGACGACAGCGGCTCCAGTAGCGAAGCGGAGCCCGAGGCCTTGGAAGCAGAGGTTCCGGTGCACTGGGCACAGGGCTCCGACACCCGCGAGGTCCCTGGGCTTGGCGCAGACGCGCTGCTGCCCCGACTCACTCTGGAGAGGAGCCCGGTCCCCTACCGCTGCCAGAGGGAGCGATGGGAGCCGGAGGATGAGGCCGAGGAGGAGCTGGAGCGGGACCTGGAGCTGAGCCTTGGGGCAGGCCTGGAGGCGCCGTCCATTGCGGGCGCGGAGGGCAGGAGCCAAGGGGCCGCCCTGGAAGACACGGAGGACCTGGCCCGGCTGCGGTGAGTGGGCGCGGATCCCAATCTGCCTGCCTAGGGCACGCGGTTCCTCATCCCGCGCGCCACTCCGTCTTTATAAAATGCAGAGGGCACTTTGCCTCATTGAAGGTCGCCGGGCTGGAAGGGGCAGGTGAGGGATGAAAGTCAGATGCCCCTGCCTGGAACTTCCTTCTCTAATTGGCACAAAGCTTCCCTCTGAGTCAGCAGCCTGGTCTTGCTTGTAAGCCCCCTGAGGGGGGTAACTTGCTTAGCTTCTGGCCCCTGTGTTATGGATGGGGCGCAGGGAGGGTGCGTGACTTGCCCAAAGCCTCTCTGCAGTCAGTGGCGCAATAACGGGAGACCGACCTCCTCTCTTTCCGCCAACTTCCTGCTCCTCCACCGTGCTGTCCCCACAGACCGCTGTGTGACAGCTCCATTCTGCTGTGCCTCAAGAAGAGGTTCCATCTGGGCCGAGTCTACGTATGGGGGGACCCAAGGAGGGGACAGTGGGCTGGGACTCCCTTTCCCCTGGGAGCACCCCTGAAGCTCCTCTTTCCTTCTCCTTCCTGGGCTGGGTGCTGAACCCTCTCTGGGGACCTGCAGAGCGGGGTTAGAGTCTGGGCCGGGAAGCATCAGAGCCCTATTCCATTGGCATCTCCTGCTCCTTCCATGTTCTGGTGACAGCTTCTGCTTTCTTCCCCAGACCTTTGGGGGACCCCTCCTGCTCGCTCTGAACCCCCGCTGGCCCCTGCCTCTCTTCTCACCCGAGGTCCTAGCCAGCTACCGCCCCAGGAAGGCCCCCAATACCACCCCGTAAGTGACTTTCTCCACCAACCTTTTGCTCACCCCCTCTCCCCAGCTAAGCCCTAGCATGTCCCATTGACTGAGGTCCTAGGAACGGTGGGCCCATCCTGCCTCCGTCTAGGAGAGCCCCAGATGCCCCTGGCAGCCTTCTCATCTGCCCCCACCCTCTGTCCCCAGACATATCTTTGCCATTGTGGCATCAGCCTGTAGCCGGTCTCAGGGCACCGGGCAGGGCACATGTATTCTCCTCAGGTGAGTGCTGCCCTGTTGGTCTGCACTGACCACACTGAGGGCTGGGAAGGGTGGGCAGGTGAGGCTGAAGCTGCCGGTCTGCTCCACTGGGTGGCAGCTCTGGACTTCCAAAGGACTGTGCTCCTGGCTGAAGTCACCGCACGGGACCCTTGAATGAGGCAGCTCAGCGACTTTTCTGTTTGGTCTCCATGCCCAGGGTCTATCCTTCTGCATTTTGGGGGATTTCCACTAAGATGAATACCACTTCTAGTTGGGCATATCCCCACTTCTTTGTCTCAATGGAGTTACCCTATGGGTCCCTTTCTGGAGTCCCTGTGCCTCCCTCCTGCAGTGGGCACAGTGGCTCAGGGAAGACAGAAGCAGCCAAACAGATCGTGCGGTTCCTAAGCAGCCCAGAGCAGGAGCCGACAGGGGACAGAGGATGTCGGGTGAGGGGCAGCTGGCCATTTCCCAGGGCCATCCTTCTCCTTTGGGACAGGAGGGTGGTCTTCAGGTCTCTTGCTTCTTCTCGGGGACAGCCCCAGAGACTGCCTACTCTGGGGGCAAGGTGGGGTGGGCTGGACTGACCCTCCATGGACCAGCCCAGTCCCTGAGCACAGTGCCCTCAGCTGGGATGCTTGTTCAATGGGCCCCACTGCTGCTTCTGGGGATACTTGAATGACCTTCCCCACCCAGCTGGACGACGTGCTGCCTTTGCTCGGCAGCTTTGGCCACGCCAAGACAGTCCTCAATGCCAACGCCAGCCGCTTCGGTCAGGTCTTATGCCTCTGCCTGCAGCAGTAAGTGATGGGGGTGCAGGTGGGCACAGGGGGCACCCATGATCAGTTCCCTGGGAAGTTGAGGCTGCTGCCCATAAGTCCAGCCCATGGTGGGTCCCATTCTGAGCGGGGCCCTTAGGTTGCATGCACCCTGGGCACCCCCACCCAGTGTCCTGTGCCCACAGTGGGGTCATCGTGGGAGCTTCTGTGTCGCATTATCTGCTTGAGACCTCAAGGGTGGTGTTTCAGGTAAGGCCCACCCTGCAACTTACCCCTTTCCAGCTCCTAGAGTGGGAAAGAGAGAGGGGCCACCGGGGGGACTGTGGTCTCTAAGCCCCCAGGCCTGCCTTCCCCAGGATTGTCCTCGCTGCCCTGGGGCGCAGGACCGGGCTGTGGTCTGTTTCCCTTAAGCCAGTCCTTCCCCCCAAGGCCCAGGCTGAGCGGAGCTTCCATGTGTTTTACGAGCTGCTGGTGGGGCTGGACCCCAGGGAACGGGAACAGCTGTCCCTGCAGGAGCCAGAGACCTACTACTACCTCAACCAGGTGGGGGTGAGGTCCACACAGCGCGGGCAGCCGGGCCTGCCTGGGGAGGGTCTCCGTGCAGGGGTCTGAAGCCAGCTGGAGTAGAGCAAGGCTGCGGGTGGCCAGGCCCTGCTCCCACCCCTGCTGTGCTCCGCAGGGCCGGGCCTGCAGGCTCCAGGGCAAGGAGGATGCCCAGGACTTCACAGGACTGGTGCAGGCCCTGAAGGCGCTGGGCTTGTGCCCCGAGGAGTTGACCGCAGTCTGGGCTGTGCTGGCCACCATCCTGCAGCTGGGCAACATCTGCTTCTCCTCGTCAGAGGTGGGCTCCCCTGAGGCGCTGGGCCCATGTGGCTTGTTCGCATAATCAGGGCAGCAAATGACAGGCCCAGCACCTGTATGTGGGAGACTGCAAAGCCCCGGGCCACCCTTGGGCTTCACAGCTGCCATCTAGATGAGAAAACAGACCTGGAATTTCGGCATCTGTGACAATGCCTGTCCCACTAAGCTGCTCCCCCCAGGAAGTGTACCTGGGACTAACTGAGCAACTGTTAAGTACCTGGCACTGTGTAAATCACTGTACATATGTTTTCTGATTCGGTTCTCAGGACTACCCTGGAACATAAGGGGTGTGTTTCCCCTTTTGCAATAATACAGTAGAGGTCTGAGAAGGGAGACTTGTCGGGCCAGCTAGTGAGGAGGTAAAGTCAGGACTCACACTCAGGACCCACAGACTCCAGAGCCGGCTCCTGCAGGCCCAGATCCATCTACCTTTGGGGAACAGGGCAGCTGCAAGGCCCGGCCTCCGCCTGTGAGGTGTGGCCATTGCACAAGTGAGCTCTCCCTGTTCCCTCTTTTCTGTCCAGCGGGAGTCCCAGGAGGTGGCTGCCGTGTCCAGCTGGGCCGAGATCCACACTGCAGCCCGGCTGCTGCGGGTGCCACCCGAGTGCCTGGAGGGAGCTGTCACCAGGAGGGTCGTGGTGAGCTCGAGGGTGCTGCGGAGGCAGGGGCCCAACGAGACCACGGGCTGTCTTGCTTAGCGCCCATGTGGGCCTCGGGCCTGACATACCACGTGCATCCTCTGCCCTCCAGGAGACTCCCTATGGCCCAGCCTCCAGATCCCTGCCCGTGGAGAGTGCCATTGATGCCAGGTGGCCCTGGGGGCAGGAGACAGCCTTCGCCCTGCCTGGCACTCCGCTGCACGTGGCTCACACCCCATGCCCACAGGGATGCCCTGGCCAAGACCCTGTACTCGCGGCTCTTCACGTGGCTTCTGAGAAGGACCAACACACGACTGGCACTACCCAAGGAGGGAAGCAGTGTGAACACCATCACTGTTGTGGACGTCTATGGCTTTGAGGTCACCCCTTGGGGTGGGGCCCAGGACAGGATACCCACCTCATCCTGACTATTTCTGGGGACCCCAGCAGCCCCAGCTTCCCTGTGAGGGCCACCCGTAGGCTGTTTGCCTGCCTGGCCCTCGGTGGTCCATGGGACAGCTGCACTCTCGTAGGTGTAGCCATTCTGCCCTGCTCTGTTCAGTCCTGACATCGCCTCTGGAGGGTTCTGTCCTGCCTGGCCTTGCAGACTCTCACAGGAGCCTCTGTGGCAGATAAGATGAAGGCCCTCGGATGGGTCAGCCCCAGCCTCGCCTCCCACGCACCGAGTGCCCTCAAATCACCCTGACTTTTCATAAGCTCTGAACACCTTCCAGAGGACCCTGCCTCCTCGGGGCAGGGAGGGGGGCTAGAACAAGAGGCAGCCCCGCCCTGAGTCCTTGGATGGGCCCTGTTCACTCCCCTGCTCTCTCCTGCTCTCCAGTGTGTCCTGTCCGTGGTGACCATGACAAGTGTGTGTGTGTGTGTGTGTGTGTGCACGCGCGCGCGCATGCATGTGCGCTCTTGTGTGTTTTAGAGCATGTCAAAACCCTCCATACAAAGCTACAAGAAGTGGGGGCTCTGCTGGGCTTACTAATAAAGTGCTGGGGGCACAGAAGAAAGAGTCTGTAATCCCCACAGGAGGAACACCGGAAGGCTTCTTGGAGGCGGCAGCCTGGAGCCCTGCTTATGAGGGTGTGGGATTCTGATAGCCAGCGAGCTAGGTCATAGGCAAAGGAGTCTTCCAGACCACAGGATGTCTGTGCCCAGAGGCCTGAAGGCTCACAGTCATGCTGAGGCAGAGGGCAGGGGTGTGACTCCTAGAGGGAGGCCTGACTGTGGCCTTTGCACTTGACCCTGTAGGAGGCACCATAGCCCTGGGGACCACTCCTCCCTGAGGCAGCCCCGTGGGAGGGGAAGGAAGGGTACCAGGCCTGTGTGCTAGCCCCCAACACCTGGCCGGTGCCCCCGCCTTGGTGAGTGCCCACCTCACTGCCCACATGCCCCCAGGCACTGCGGGTAAATGGCCTGGAGCAACTGTGCAACAACCTTGCCAGCGAGCGTCTGCAGCTCCTCTCCAGCCGGGTGCTGCTGGCCCAGGAGGAGGTAAGGGGACCTGGGCAGAGATGGGCAGGGTGACACCAGCTAGTTCCCAGAACAGAGCCCATCTCTGGTAAAGGGAGCCCACTCGCGATGGCTGTCCCAGTCCTTCCGAACCTCCTTTTCTCATCTGTAAAGTGGGAGGGCCATCCCTGCTCTGACTCAGGCGAGGGCCACCACGAATGTGAGTGGGCCCCTTTAACAGCCCCATGCTGTCTGTTCCCAGGAGGAGTGTCGGCGACAGTTGCTGCCCTGGGTGCCCGTCCCCGAGTCTCCAAGGGAATCCTGCCTGGACCTCCTGGTAGACCAGCCCCACAGCCTCTTGAGTATCCTGGATGCCCAGACATGGCTGTCCCAGGTGAGCCCCCAGTGGCGGGGACAAGCAGTGGGGGAGCAATAAAGTGATGGGGTCCAGAGACCCTGCCCACAAACCTTTAGTACAGCTTGGGAAGGCAGTGGCCAAACTGGGCTCAAACGCTGTGCTGGGTGATCTTGAGCAACACGTGTGACCTCTCTGAGGTTTCTCAAGTCCTCGCTGCAGAAGGGAGACAGCGGTGCCTGGGGGGCATGGTGAGGGACTGCGCAGGGCTCACGGGAGGTATGCAAGGGCCGGGGGGCAAACCTCAGGTGCGTCCATTCCTCAAATACTGTCCCACCTAATAGCTCCCCGTTTCTCTCCAGCCTCTGCCTTACTTACTCGTTATAACGCTGGTGTCCATGAGCAACTGCACTGTATATTTATTCGTGGACTCGTCTGAAGGGTTTCAGCCCTATCTGCAGAGCCTGGCACGTGGTTAAGGGTGCGCTAAATAGTGAATGAATGAATGAATGAATGAATGAATGAATGAATGAATGTGCCAGGAGTTATGCCAGGGATAAAAAGGTGAGCAAAAATAGACCCAGTCCCTCCCCTTCAGTCTGCAGTGTAGCAGGAGAGAGGTATTACTTAACATGCACACAGAGCACACACGCACATTCGGTAAGTCACCCCAATACGGCTCCGTGGATGGATGTGTAGGGCCACCAGGGCCCCTCTGTGGCTTGGGTCTCCTCTGGGATCTGCGGCCATTTGAACTGAATACACTCTACCTCCGGATAGAAGGTGACCCATCTCGTTTTCTCATTCAGAGGTTGAAAATGATGAAAAATAATGGTCAAGTAGTCAAACATGATCATAATATTTCATTGATAAATATAATATTAATATAAAAGTATCAATATGTAGTCCTGGCCAGTGTGGCTCCATTGGTTGGAGCATCATCCAGTACACAGAAAGGTCACAGGTTCTATTCCCAGTCAGGGCACATACCCAGGTTGCAGGTTTGATCCCAGTTGGGGTATGTGTAGGAGGCAAACAATCAATGTCTCTCTCTCTTCCTCTCCCTCCATCTCTCTCTCTCTAAAATCAATAAAAACATATCCTTGGGTAAGGATTAGAAGAAAAATATTAATATGTAGTAGATATGAGTTTATTATCTATTATAGCAACATATTATATTAGTACATAACATTAATTTATTAACATACATATTTGAAGTCCCTTACCAGATGAACTCAGTGTGTTTACTTGTAAACGGTTCTTCTCCTGGCTTACATTTCGTAAAGTTTTATGAAAACTAGTCACAGGCTTCTGACATCTCAGGGCCACTTTTGGAATCACCCAGCATGGTCTTCTTGAGTCCCTTCTTTGCAGCAGCTCTTTCCATGTCCATGTTGGGTGCTGGCCCAGGAACTGCTCCCCCAAACTGCACGTCCCATCCGTAGAACCCTAAGGCAGGCATTCCCATGCGTCTGTGTAATGTGTCCCTTAGCTCCATAGAATAAGCTCTTACTGGGTTGCTTTTTATTTCTTTTCATCCATCCGAGGACATTTTTGCATTTATCTTCAGATAGATCAGGAAGGAGAGAGGGAGGAAGAGAGAGAGAGAGAGAAACATTGATGTGAGACAGACACATCAAGTGGTTGCCACCCACACGACCCCAACCAGGCCAGGGACAAACCGCAACCATGGTACGTACCTTTAGCAGGAACCGAACCCGGGTCTCTCTGGTCCACAGGCTGATGCTCTAACTGCTGAGTCAAACCGGCCAGGGCTGGGTTGCTTTTTAAAAGTAATTTTTAAAACAACACATTTTTTTCCCTTTATTGATTTTAGACACAGAGGGAGAGAGAGATAGAAACATCAATAAGAGAGAACATCGATTGGCTGCCTCCTGCACGCCCCCCACTGGGGATCTGGCCCAGAACCTGGACATGTGCCCTGACCGGGAATCGAACCTGCGACCTCTTGGTGCAGGGGTCGACACTCAGCCACTGAACCACACCTGCCAGACTGAAAGTAATTTTTACAAGACTTGTGTGGAAACACCCGTCGCTGTGAGGCCGTCCTCCCAGGAGTGACGGCTGGACGGAATGGACTTCCTCCATCCCTTTTCAGTGATCCATCCGTGTTTCCTGCCGGGGGCAGTTTCTGAGTGAGGAGCCGTGTCTCTCTCAAACAGCGCTTTGTGTCCAGACAGTCACCGGGAAAGAGAGAGGTGCCCTTTATGCGGGTCTGGGCGACTCTGGGTGGCTCTTCCTCTCGGGAAGCCTGGGACACAAGCCACACCCACCTCCAGTGCACTGTCCCTACTGGGGGGTGGGGGCACCGGCCTGAGGGGGCCTCTCTCTTCTCAGGCCACGGACCACACCTTCCTCCAGAAGTGCCACTACCACCACGGCGATCACCCGTGCTATGCCAAGCCCCAGCTGCCCCTTCCTATCTTCACCGTGAGACATTACGCAGGGACCGTCACCTACCAGGTATCAGGGTGAATTGGGGAAAGACTCCAGGGTGAATTAGTGAGGCCACTGTGACCCTGACATTTTTTTCCAGAGCTGAGTCACCTACCAGGCAGGTGATAGGAGTGGGTGAGGGGAACCCCCTTCCAATGCTTGGCCACCTGCCCTACCTGTGTCCGTGGCCCCGCCCAGTTCTGGGTGAGTGGTAGGGGTGGGGAGAGTCAAGGCCATGGGACTCTCCAGACCCAGAGGAGCCAAGTGTGGGGCCTGGCTCTGACAGCCTCACGTGGTCCACTCTCCTCCAGCCTCCGTCCCCTTCCTCATCTGTACAATGGAAGAGCAGGCATCTGCCTTGCAGCCTTGTCACGAGGATTAAATGCAATAACGTGGGAATGGCCGGGCAGGTGCCTGGCACATACTAGGTGCTCACTGAAGGGATTTCCCCGTCCTGAGTTCCACAGGGACTGCACACCTACCTAGGAGGACAGGCACTAAGGGAAGGGGCCTGGTATAAAGGGTAGGACCCTGTGACCAGTTTGATGTGAGGCAAGTCACATAAGGCTTCCTGGAGGAGGTGACATGCTTTGGTTTTAGAAGAAAAAAGACAAGCTACCCTGAAGCTACCCAAACAAAAAACAAAAGGAGTATATGTCAATTATACCTTAAAAAAATCACATAAAAGAAAAGAAACATGGAGATGAATAAAGAAAACTATGAAACTGTATTGACGGTCACAAAAGAAGATCTAAAAATGGAGGAACAGACCACATTCATGCTGGGGAGCCCTAATAGTGTTCATTCCTTCCTATCTGATCTAGAAAAGTAGTACAATTCCAGACGGTACGTACGTACCCCAATGGGGTTGTTATGGGAGGAGGAGGAATGAGTTTTGATGAAATCATTCTGAAGTATTATTATCTGGAAAAAGAATGCATGAGAAGAGCCAATCAAATATTGAAAAGCAAAAGATTGGAGAAATGTGTTCTACCAGATATTAAAACATATTTTAAAGCTATAGTAATTAAAAGAGTATGGTATTGATAAGGAACAGAGTCATCAATGGAACAGAATTCAAAGCCTGAAACAGACCCAAGAGTATATATAAAGGAACTGGGTACATGATGAAGGTGGCCTTTAAAGATGTGGTAAAATAGACATTACATACATTTTACCATAAAAAGAAAGTTTTTATTGATTATTTAGAGAGAGAAAAGGAGAGAAACAGAAACATCAATGTGAGAAAGAAACATTGATCGGCCGCCTCCTGCATGGTCCCCACTGGGGATCGAGCCCATGACCCGGGCATGTGCCCTGACCGGGAATCAAACCGGGACTTCTCAGTCCAAGGGATGACTCTCAATCCACTGAGTCACACTGGCTGGGGAAATTTTACCATTTTTAAGTGTATGAGTCAGTGGCTTTAAGTACATTTACAATGTTGTGCTGCTATCACCACTGTGCATTTCCAGAAATTTTTCATCATCTCAAACAGAAAGTCTGTACCCATTAAACACACCACCTCCCCCTTCCCTCAGCCCCTGGTAATCAGATTTTCTGTCTCTATAAATTTGCCGATTGTAGGAATCTCATATAAATAGAATCATCACACACACACACACACACACACACACACACAATCCTTTTGTGTCTGACCTGTTGCACTAAGCATGTTTCCAAGGCTCATCCATGTTGCAGCACATGTCCGAATGTCCTTCCTTTTATGGCTGAATAATATTCCATTGTATGTCTACCTTCCCTCTGTGGATGGACGTTCGAGTTGTTTCCACCTTTTTGGCTATTGTGAATGATGCCACTGTGAACACGGGTGTGCAGCTACCCACGCGTTCTCTGCTTTCCGTTCCTTTGGGTCCGAACCTAGAAGGGGGACGGCTGGCTCGTAAGGTCACTCACTCTATGTTTAGATTTTGGGGGAGCTGCCAAGTCGCTTTCCTCAGTGGCTGCACCATTTTACTTTCCCGCCAGCCTGTGCGAGGTTCCAATGTCCCTGCATCCTTGCCAAATTTGTTATTTTCCTTTTTTAAAGAAACAAACAAACTATAGCCATCCTAGTGGGTGTGAAATGGTATCTCATTGAGGTTTTTTGAGGTTTTTATTTGCATTTCTCTAATACTAATGATGCTGAGACTCCTTTTTTTTTTTATCCTCACCTGAGGAGATTTTTCCGTTTTGGAGATTTTTCCATTTTTTGTTCAGATAGAGTGGGAGGGAGAGAGAGGAAGAGAGAGAGAGAGGGAGAAACATCGACGTGAAAGGGACACATCGAGTGGCTGCCACCCGCACGACCCAACCAGGGCCAGGGACAAACTGCAACCGAGGCACGTGCCCTTAGCGGGAACCGAACCCGGGTCTCTCTGGACTGCAGGCTGACGCTCTACTCGCTGAGCCAAACTGGCCAGGGCGATGCTGAGACTCTCTTCATGTGCTTCTGGACTAGCGCTTTGGAGGAATGTCTGTTCAAGTCCGTTGCCCGTTTTTGAATTGCGTTGTTCGTTTTTTTCTCCTTGAGTTGTGGGAGTTCTGGATGGCACGCCCTTATCGGATATGTAATGTTATCCCCCATTCTGTGGGTGGCTTTTGATGTGCAAACGTTTTTAATTTTTAACTACTCTTTTCTTTTGTTGCCCGTGCTTTGGTGTTATATTCAGAGAGTCATTGCCAAGTCCAATATCATGAAGTTTTATGTTTTCCCCTTAGCGTTTTAGTTTCAGGTCTTACAGTTAGGTCTTTGATCCATTCATTCTGAGTTAATTTGTGTACATACTGAGATAAGAGTTCAATGTCATTCTTTGGCATGTGGAGCTCCAGTTTTCCCAGCACAATGAAAGAGACAAAGGGGGCCTTTCACTCTGAGGGGAGAGGCTGGATTATTTGGCAAAGGGACTGGCCTCCACACCCAGCCTTCTCTCCTTGGCTTTCCCTCCCTCCCTTTGCAGGTTCACAAATTTTTAAACAGAAACCGGGATCATCTTGACCCTGCCGTGACGGAAATGCTTGCCCAGAGCCAGCTCCAGGTGCCCCTGCCAGCCCCCCAACCCCCACCTGTCCACATTCTGCCCCCCCATTCTGCCCTTCTTGCCCGGACACTCGCCCAAGGGACTTGCCCTCAGACCATGACCTGAGCTTGCTGGGGTCTGGACGCTATGAGCTGGTCCACCCTGACTTCCCGTGGGCTGGGCAGGCTGGGTTATGGACAAGCCTGGAGACAGGCTGGCTCAGCCCCTCTTTCCCTGTAGTTGGTGGGCAGCCTGTTCCAGGAAACAGAGCCCCAGGTCAGCGGAGGGCGAGGCAAACCCACACTGGCCTCTCGATTCCAGCAGTCGCTGGGGGACCTCATCGCCGGGCTGGGCAGGTGAGCGCAATGTGCCCTACACCCAAAGGCAGGGAGTTGGATGGGAGACGGATAGGTACCCAAGCGACCCCCCTCCACCCATCAGGAGCCATGTCTACTTCATCCAGTGCCTCAACCCCAACCCTGGAAAGGTGAGCTGCCCCAGCACCTGGCCCAGAGCCGTCCCCTCCTGGCCCTGCCCTACATTTCCCTGAAGCTTAGGCTCCTTGACCCCCCGCTCACTGCTTCTGTCCCATGGCCACAGCTCCCAGGCCTCTTTGATGTGGGGCATGTGGCAGAGCAGCTGCGCCAGATGGGCATCCGGGAGGCCGTCCATACCCGCAGTGCCAACTTCCCTGTACGCATGTCCTTCCAGACCTTCCTGGCCAGGTAGGGCTCCAGGACGGGGCAGCCAAGGGCCCACACGCCTCAGCGATAAGACTCGCGAGAAAGCCCTGGCCGGTTTGGCTCAGCGGTTAGAGCGTCAGCCTGCGGTCCGGAGAGACCCGGGTTCGGTTCCCACTAAGGGCACGTACCTCGGTTGCAGTTTGTCCCCGGCCCTGGTTGGTCGTGCGGGTGGCAGCCACTCGATGTGTCCCTTTCACATCGATGTTTCGCTCTCTCTCTCTCTGTTCCTCTCTCTCCCTCCCACTCTACCTGAACAAAAAATGGAAAAATGTCCTCGGGTGAGGATAAAAAAAAAAAAAAAAAAAAGACTCGCGAGGAAGGCCCCCTGGAGTGACGGGTGGACCCGGGCTTCCTTCCCTTTCCCAGGGACCCTGGGCCTGGTATCCAGCCCTTTCTCTCTCTTTTTTAAAAAATATGTGTTGTTGTTGTTTTTAATAAATTATTTTTTAAATATGTTTTTGTTGTTTTTTTTTAGAGAGAGAGGAAGGGAGAGAGAGATAGAAACATGCATCTGAGAAACATAGATCGGCTGCCTCCTGCAATCCCCCTACTGGGGCTCAAGCCCGAAACCCGGGCACGTGCCCTGACCAGAAATTGAACCGGGACCTCTCAGTCCATGAGACGACGCTCAGTCCACTGAGCCACGCTGGCCGGGCCAACTCTTTTTCTGTTCATTCTCTCTCTCTCCTTCTTTCCCTCCATCTCTCTCCTTCCAGAATGTACTGTCTGTCCACCCTCCGTGCCTCTGGGAGCTCACCTGCCCTCCTCCTTTCAGCAAAACTCTCCTGGGGGCCGGCACGTAGTAGGCGCTTTCCACATCGCCGTCCAATGACTCAGAGACGGAACGACACTTAGGGGCTCGTGTCAAACAACCGTGGAGGGATGTTTATGCTGTGCTTACCTCGACTCTGGGCAGGTTCCGGACCCTGGGCCCAGAGGGGCAGGGAGAGCCCTCTGATCGGGAGAGGTGTGGCACCATCCTGAGCCAGGTGTTGGGGGCTGAGTCACCCCTCTGTCACCTTGGAGCCACACAGGTGGGTGTGTATGCAGGGGGGCAGGCTGGAAAGGGAGAGGAGTAATCTGGGGGCAACCCAGGATCCGTGGTCCTTCTGGGTGATCGGGAGATGGACTGGGGCTGGGTGGCAGGTGTCCTGGCACCCCAGGAGAGTAGCTTGTCTGGCTGGAAGGGAGGAGGCTGAGGCCTCAGGAGAAGGGCGGGACCGGCCCACCCCCATGGCACTCACAGCCCACGCGTCTGCCCCCAGGTCCTGCTGCAGGAGCCGGGCTGGCAGCAGCTGGAGCGGCACCGGGCCCAGCGTCGTGCCCAGGCAATGCTTGCCCTGCACCGCGGCCTCCGTGCCTGCATCGCCCGCCAGCACCTCCGCCTCCTGCCACGGATGCAGGCTCGTGTTCGGGGGCTCCAGGCCAGGTGTGCAGGCGGGGGTGAGGCCCTGGGCCTCTTCGGGATGGTGGGGCAGGGTCGGGGAGACACAGGTCTCAAGGCAAGTCTGCCTGCCCAGTGCCATCCCATCAGCACTGGACTCTCCTTGACAGCACCCCCCATACCCTTGCAGTCTCTGCTTGAATACTCCCAGTCTCAGGACACTCATTACCCACTGAGGCCACCCAAACCGGCAGTCTTGACCCCTTGAGTGTCCTGTTTTCTAGTCTGTTCTTCACTGTGCAGCAAGAATAATCTCTTAAAAGCAAAAGTCAGCCCTGGCCGGTTTGGCTCAGAGGTTAGAGTGTCAGCCTGCGAACCGGAGAGTCCCGGGTTCGGTTCCCGCTAAGGGCACGTACCTCGGTTGCCGTCTGTCCCCAGCCCCAGCTGGGGTCGTGCAGGTGGCAACCAGTCGATGTGACTCTCTCACATTGATCTTTCTTTCTCTCTTTTTCCCGCTCTCCCTCCCTCTCTCCCTCCCGCTCTATCTGAAGATAAATGTAAAAATGTCCTCGGGTGAGGATAAAAACAAACAAATAAATAAAAGCAAGAGTCAGATGTGGGCCAGACTTTTACACTCCAGGCTCTTTGGATTTCCTGGTCCTCCAATGTGTCCCCCTCCCTCTCCTCGCCTGACGCTCTTCACAGCCTGTCTTTGCTCATTCATCCAACAGCTCTGGCTCAACCTTCTTCTCCGTCTACCCTGGGCCAGATGCTGCTGGCACAGTGATGAAGGGGCCTCCCAGGCTAGCTGGGCAGTCAGATGCAGACAGTAAACCAGCCGCCCGCCACCCCAACGGTCATTGCCAAAGCTCTGAGGACAGGTGCGGGCAGGGGCACCAGGAGAGCCTCCGGAGAGGGGGCACCCATCACCACTACTTATTTCCAGAACATTTTCATCACCAACAGAAATGCACCTGTTAAGCAACAATTTCCACTCTCCCTGGCCTCCAGCCCCTGGTAACCTCCCATCTACGTTCAGTCTATGAATTTGCCTGTTCTAGAATCTTCGTGTAAGTCAGGTCATACAGCATTTCCTTTTATGTCTGGCTTATTGCACTGAGCATCACGTTTTCAAGGTTTACGCAGGTTATAGCATGTATCAGAACTTCATTCTTTTTTTTTTTTTTTTTAATAGGTTTTTATTGATTTTTATTTATTTATTTTTCTTTCTTTCTTTTTTTTTTTTATCCTCACCCGAGGACATTTTTCCATTTTTTTTGTACAGATAGAGCGGGAGGGAGAGAGAGGAAGAGAGAGAGAGAGAAACATCAATGTGAAGGGACACATCGAGTGGCTGCCACCCGCACGACCAACCAGGGCCGGGGACAAACTGCAACCGAGGTACGTGCCCTTAGCGGGAACCGAACCCGGGTCTCTCAGTACCGCAGGCCGAAGCTCCAACCGCTGAGCCAAACTGGCCAGGGCAGTTTTTATTGATTTTTAGAGACAGAGGAGGGGGGGGGGGGAAGAGAGAGAGAGAGAGAGAGAGAGAAACATCGATGGGAGAGACATCGATTGGCTGCCTCCTGCAAGCCCCCACTGAGGATTGAGCCCGAAACCCATGTGTCCCGACCTGGAACCAAATCGGCAGCCTCTTGGTCCATGGGTCGATGCTGAACCACTGAGCCACACCGGCCGGGCTTCGTTCCTTTTTTATGGCTGAATAACATTCCCTGGTACAGATACACCACACCGTGTGTGTCCATCCATCCTTCAGCGCACATTTAGGTTGTCTCCACCTTTTGGCTATTGTGAATCATGCCTCAGTGAACATGGGTGTGCAAGTGTGTGTTCGAGGCTCAGCTTTCGACTCCCTTGGGTCTGTGTGAGGCGTGGGGTTGCTGGGCCACGTGACAAGTCTGTGCTTCACCGTTTGAGGCTCTGCCAGACTGCTTGGCAGAGTGGCGGCCTCCTTCGTGTTTCCACCAGCAGCGTAGGAAGTTCCAATGTCCCTACTTGCCGATACTTATTTTTCTTTTTAAAAATAAGCATAGCCCTCCTAGTGGGTGTGAAGTGGTATCTCATTGTGATTGTGATTTGCATTTCCCTGATGACTAACAGGAACATCTTTTCATGTGCTTCTTGGCCATTTGTACATCTTTGGACAAATGTGTATTCAAGTCCTCTGCCTGCATTTTAATTGGGTTATTTGTCTTTTTGTTGTTGAGTTGTGGGAGTTCACACAAGAAGCAACCAAAGAATAATGCAGAAATAAGTGGAACCACAAGTCAATGTTTCTTTCTCTCTCTTTAAAAAAATTAATAAAAATGTTTAAAAGATTTTTAAAAACACCTTATCAAATATGTGACTTGCAAATGGTCTCCCATTCTGTGGGTTATGTTTTCACAAAGGATAGTGTCCTCTGATGCACAAAAGCTGTAGACATTTCTTTTTCCAAGACTTTTTATTGGTTTTTAGAGAGGGAGGGAGAGAGAGAGAAACATCGGTCGGCTACCAGGGATCAAGCCTGAAACCCGGACATGTGCCCTGACCGGGACTCAAACTGGCAAACTTTTGGTGCACAGGACGACGTCCAACCAAATGAGCCACACTACTGAGGGCTATAGACTTGTTTTTAAGTGTTTACCTTGCTCAGCATCCCTTCATTGAGGAGTCTGGTCTTATATCTGGGAAATTCTCAGACATTTTATCTGAACATTATTTCTCCCAGGATCTCCTATTAGATGTTCAGTGATGTCATTTTTTTTTCATTTTTAGAGCTTTTGCTTCTTAATTAATAATACACCAGACTCCACTGAAATGCAAATGAGTTAACCAAATACTGTTCGTCTGTTTAATTCCAAAATGAGAAGGTTGTCAGATGTTTCTGCCATGAGAATCATTTGCCTAAGGATGGTAGGAATCTTGAGTCAAAGGATTGTCTTGGGTTGCAGAAACGCAGTCTCTCTTATAAAATAAGACTACATTGTTATAATAAACTTTTCTCCATTAAAAAAATATATAATACGCCCTGGACGGTTTGGCTCAGCGGTTAGAGCGTCAGCCTGCGGTCCGGAGAGGCCCGGGTTCGGTTCCCGCTAAGGGCATGTACCTCGGTTGCAGTTTGTCCCCGGCCCTGGTTGGTCGTGCGGGTGGCAGCCACTCGATGTGTCCCTTTCATGTCGATGTTTCCCTCTCTCTCTCTTCCTCTCTCTCCCTCCCACTCTGTCTGTACAAAAAATGGAAAAATGTCCTCGGATGAGGATAAAAAAAAATATATATATATATATATATATATATAATACTTAGCCGGTGTGGCTCAGTGCACTGAGCCCAGTCCCGTGTCCCATGCACATGCCCGGGTTGCGGGCTCGATCCCCAGAGTGGGGGCATGCAGGAGACAGCTGAACAATGTTTCTCTCTCACATCGATGTTGCTACCTCTCTCTCCCTCCCTCTCTCTCTAAAAATAAACAAATAAATAAACACTAAAACGCCAGACTGTATTCTAAACACTTACGTCCATAAATAAGTGGAGCAACAAGTCGATGTTTCTGTCTCTCCTCCCTTCCTCTCTCTCTAAAAAGAAATCAATAACTTTTTAAAAAAAAGATTAAAAAAAACACCTTATCAAATATGTGACTTGCAGATGACGAAACTTAAACCAGAGAGGTAAGGTGTCTTACCCAAGGCCACAGTGACTGAACAGAAGGGGAAGATCTCAGGTAGTCAGCTCCAGAGTCTAAGGTCATAAAACGTGACCTTTTCTATCAGCGTGTCCCACCCTTTCCCTGTTGCTTCCATTAAGCACCTGGGGGTTTCACTGGGCTGGGGTCAGTGTGTCCATCCATGTCGTGGCTCGGCGGAGTCAGGCAGCCCCTTCCCGGCCTGCAGGAAGCGGTACCTCCGGCGGCGCACGGCGCTGGGACAGCTGAACACCGTCCTGCTGGTGGCCAGGCCCCTGCTCTGGAGGAGGCGGAGACTGCAGGTGAGGGTTTGGCTGCAGCGGCAGCTCAGGGTGGAAGCCAGGCACCTTGTGGCCAGGCCAGCTGAGTCCCCACAGCGTCCACCCTCCTCGCCCAACCACACGAGGTCAAGGTCTTGGGCCATTGCTGGTTACGCTCTTCCTGGTCAGCGTAGGCTGGGCCTCTGGGAAGTCATTGTCTTCCTTCATCCTTGCCTGTCCCTCAGCCCCACTGTCCCCTCCCTACCTGAAGTGTCTTCTCATCCCCCCGGCCCTCCTTAGGGCCCACCTGCTCCCCTCTCTCACCTGATGACTCCTACTTGAGAGCCATAAAGCTGCTCAAAGGTCAGTGCCCACACACTGGCCCCTCTCTGGCCCCTCCCTGGCTGGACTTTGTCTCCTGGGACCACTCCTTCCTGTCTTCCTGCCCTCCTACCCTCTTCCTACTGCCCTGACAGACAGGCAGTGACGCCCACAGCGCAAGGCCGGCGAGGGCTCCAGAGGGCTGGGCAGGCAGCTGGCCCCTCTGGGTCTGTGCTTGTTCCTCCGCGGGCTCGGGGCTCCGGGGCAGGAGCCGCAGCTGAGCTGCTGAGCTGGGAGGAGGGGCTCGGAGGCTCCAGGTGGCTCCTGGGAACATCAGCTCTTCTTCCTCCGACAGCTTGGGCACTGGTGTGGCTGGCACGGCAGCGGGTCCTCCGAGAGCGTGCCAGGCATGGTAGGTGGCCTGGAAACTGGAGGGTGTTCCTGGGCTACGGACCCAATGCACCCGGCACAGCTCGAGGGGGAGTATGGGACCTCAGGGGTGCCAGCATGGGTCCTGTCCCCCAGGGGCATCTGGTGTGCCCCCTGAGAAGGGGCCTGGGGTGCCCTTGGCGTTCCTCTGAGGGCTCCTGGGACCCTGCTCGTGTGAGTGTACAGGGTCTTTGAAGGGCACGTTTATAGACCTGGGTAAAGAGGGGCACTGGGGACCTGTGCCCCTTCCTCAGCATCGGGTCAATCACCATCACCCCTCCCCGGCAGGAGCTGGCACGCCTGGAGATCCCGGCCGAGCTGGCCGTCATGCTGAGGAGACAGGAAGGTGGGTCCTGCCTGCCCCGTGTCACTCTTCCCGTGACCCCTCCCCCGTCCTCCTGGGTGTGGAGAGGGTCTGTCCGTCCCTCCCTCTGCTGCTCCAGGCTCCCCTCTGCACAGGGCTGGCGGCTGGCGGGGAGGGCTGGGGCAGTGCCGGAGCCAGGGGCCTAGCGGCCTTTCCGGGCTGCCTTCCCCTGCTGTCCGCAGGCGGCCAGCACCCACCGGCCCAGAGCATCACTGAGGCCAAGCCCCCGGAAGTCCCTGCCCGGCCCAGCCTGGCCCTGCCGCCCGACATCGACCAGTTCCCCTTCTCCAGCTTCATCTCCACCGGCTTGCAGGTAGGCCCCCTGGGCGTCGGCTCCTCCTGGCTGACCCCCCAGTTCCCAGACGTTAGCCCCTGGCAGGCAGAGGCTGTCTGTCCCTCTGTCTCCACCCAGCCTGCTCCTCCCCTGTCACGGGGGCTGTGGACACAGCTACCTCGCTCGGAAAGCATCATTGAACCTGAATGACTCACTCTCCAGTGTCATTGGGATCCGTGATGCCACACCTGTGCTCCACCTGTGGCGGTGCCTACTGGCGGAGTCATGTTGTAGAGCAGCGGTTCCCAACCTGTGGGTCGCGACCCCGTTGGGGGTGGAGCGACCCTTTCACAGGGGTCGCCTAAGACACAACAGTAGCGAACTTACAGTTATGAAGCAGCAAGAAAAATAGTTTTATGGTTGGCGGTCACCACAACATGAGGAACTGTATTAAAGGGCCGCGGCTTTAGGAAGGTTGAGAACCGCTGTTGAAAAGTGTGTGTGATGACCAGGAGCCGCCGCATCTGCAGACACGCAGCCAGGCGAGGGCGGGACATTTGGGGAGCCAGGCCCGCCCCGTCCCCTCCTCGATGTGTCACTCACCACCTGTCCAGCCTGCAGCTGGATTCAAGACTGCACATAGACTATAATCCCAATGTATTTTGTTTTTGTTTTTTTCTGGTACGTGCCCCTCGCGGGAACTGAACCCGGGACTCTGGTCTGAAGGCCAACGCTCCAACTGCTGAGCCAAACCGGCCAGGGCTATAATCCCAACTCAGAAACCACGGCGGGTGGTGCTGGCTGTTTGTGCAGGACTGGCAAGGAGGGCGGAGAGAGAGGCTGAGGCGCTAACCGGGTGTATCTGGTGGTGGTTTTATTCTTTATCATTTTCCATGTTTTCTGAGTTTTCCTCATGCATGGGCTCGAGTTTCTGGTCAGAACAAGCAATTAAGCTGCATTTGAAGGATGGTTTTCCACACCTGTGCTGCTTTCTCCCTCTCCCAGAGTGATGCCCCTGGGCTCCCCCGGGCTGTCTCCAGCAGGTCAGCACACACCTGCCCTGCTCGGGCACTGCGACACCCTGTTCCTTGCAGGAGCCCTCTCTGCCCTCCCCCGGGCAGCTGCTGGCCAAGCCCCTGACCCGGCTGCACGGCGAGGACCCGCAGCATGCCCTGGATATCAACAAGGTGGTGAGTGACACATCGGGGAGGGGACAGGGCGGGCCTGGCTCCTGGGAGCTGGCCGGGACCTCGGAGCCCCAAATGTCCTGCCCTCGCCTGGCTGTGTGTCTGCAGATGCTGCGGCTCCTGGGGGATGAGTCCCTGCTGCCCTGGCAGGAGCAGACCATGGGCACGTACCTGGTGAGGCAGGGGCAGCGCCGGCCAGGACTTCGGGACGAGATCTTCAGCCAGCTCGTGGCCCAGCTTTGGCACAACCCCAGCGAGCAGCAGAGCCAGCGCGGCTGGGCCCTCATGGCCATCCTGCTCAGCGCCTTCCCCCCAATGCCCAGCCTGCAGAAGCCACTGCTCAAGTAAGGGGCCTGCAAGCAGAGGCCGGCGGGTGGGGTGAGAGGGCCACCCCGCCCTCACGCCTGTGCTGTCCCCGCAGATTTGTGTCGGACCAGGCCCCCAACGGTGTGGCGGCGCTGTGCCAGCACAAGCTGCTGGGGGCCCTGGAGCAGACGCGGCTGGCCCCTGGGAACACGCGTGCCCACCCACCCACTCAGCTCGAGTGGACGGCCGGATGGCGTCGAGGCCGCATGGTGCTGGACGTCTTCACTCTCAATGGTGATGCCCGCCTCCGGCTCAGGTCTCCCCAGGCCGGCAGTGGAGCCCACCCCGCCCCTTCACCCTCCTGCCTCACTCCCAGACCCTGATCTCCCTTCGTCCTGCTTTTGGAGCCCCCTTGGGGACAGCAGCTCCTTCCCGTCAGGGTGAACCCCGCTGCCTTACTCTTGGTCCCCACCCCTCGCCCCGCAGACGAGTGCTTCTCGGCAGAGGTGGAGTCCTGGACTACAGGGGAGGAACTGGCCGGATGGATTCTGCAGAGCAGGTGCCCGGGGGCCTGGGATGGGAGAGTGCAGCCCAGGGCCACCTCCGTCCCCCCTCCCGTCCTCCCAGCCCGCTCTCCACAAGCACCTCCTGCAGCTGCCCTGCCGGCCCAGGCCACAGCCTGCTCCCCGAAGGGGGTGGGGTAGGTGGGCAGGGTCCAGACGGCAGATTCAACACGAGGAGCAAGAGTGGCGATGACACAGTCCAGGTTCCAATAAAGTAGGTGAACAAATAAACGTGAGTCAGATCCGGTGTGTAAGTAGAAGGGTTGCGTTGTGACCGATTCCTCACCCAGGTTCTTTTCTCCTCCGCGACCTTGGCCCTTTCGGGATGGTCATCTGCCTGGCTGGCCACACCCCTAATGCATGCCCCTGTCCCATCCAGAGGCCTGGAGGGGCCCCCCCGGGGCTGGTCCGTGTCACTGCATTCCGGGGACTCCTGGCAGGACTTGGCTGGCTGTGACTTCGTGCTGGACCTGATTGGCCAGACTGAGGACCTAGGGGACCCTACGGATCCCCACAGCTACCCCATTGCCCCCCGAAGCTTGTAGGTGCCGCCCTAGCAGCCCTGCCCCCACCCGCTCCTGTCCCTAACCTTATCCCCACAGCCACCATGCCACACCCTGGGGTTCACAGGTGCTGCCACAGACCCATCCCCCACCAAAACCTCCTCCCATCCATGGGGACAACCCCACAGCAGCTTGTGCACCTTGGCTCAGCCGGGGCACTGCTCTCAGCCAAAGTACCTGCTTAGCTGGGCCCACTGTCTCCTGCAGAGCTGAGGACATCCCTCCCGCCCCTGGCATCCGGGCCCCCTCACTGTCCCCAGGTCCCCCTCCAGGTCCAGCCCCAACACTACCTAGCCAGAGCCACACAGGTAAGGCTGGGAGTGGCGCGCTGCGGCTGGCAGAGTGCTGGGAATCGGGGTGCCGGAAGCCCCATGCCCCAGGCCGGTGATGCTGACCCTCCTCCGGCTCCACAGGTGAGTCCCGGAGCCCAGGGAGCCTGGATAACTACCTGGACCACATCTTCCAGCCAGTGCTCTGCCCAGGCCTCCAAGTGAGTGCCCTGTACACACACCCCGCCCCGCCCCTGCCCCGACCCCACTGGGGCCTCTGCTGCCCTCCCATCTCTCTCAGGACTCTGGCTCTGACCTGGGACCTTTGTCCCTTCAGGATCTGGAGCAAGGCAGGGCTCTGAGCAGCCGCATGAAGGGAGGCGGCGCCATTGGGCCCATGCAGCAAGGGAGCTACCCGATGGGTGAGTACGGTGCCAAGCCCCATCCAGGCCCTCAGCCCAGCCGCACAGGCAGGCATGGCCTAAGGCCGTGGATCTGGGGGTGAGCTGCAGCCAGCACCCTGGGCCTGTACTCTTTGCCTGGGGTGGAGGGAGATGGTTCATGGGCCCAGGGAGGGACCAACCTGGGAGGGCCCTGTTCCCTCAGTGTACCCAGGGATGATGCCCGGATACCAGCCAGCTATGATGCCTGCACCCATGCCCATGATGCCAGCGATGGGTGCGGTCCCTCCAATGCCAGGTAAGGCTGGGCTGGGGCACCGGGTTCCTTCCCAAGTAGGGACTGGAGGAACGAGGGTCCTGCCAGGGGCCTAGAGGGCATAGTGGGCAGCGGGCCCTGGTGCTCACCTGCCCTGCCCACCCGCCATGCTTGTAGCCATGGTGGTGCCGCCCCAGCCCCAGCCCCAGCCCCTGCTCCCCAGCGTGGATGTGAGGCAGCTGGTGACTCAGCAGCAGAACTTCATCAACCAGCAGGCGCTGATCCTGGTGAGGGTCATCAGGGTCCTAGACTGCCTACAGGGACAGGTCTGTGGGCAGGGCCAGGCCAGCTCTTACCTGCGCCACCACCCCTCCCCCTCAGGCCCAGCAGATGACTGCCCAGGCCATCACGCTGTCCCTAGAGCAGCAGACACAGCAGCGCCAGCGCCAGCGCCAGGCCCAGGCAACTCCAGCCGTTGCACCCAGGCCCAAGAAGCCGCCAGCCCCCCAGGCGGAGCCGGAGCCCGAGCCGGAGCCGGAGCCGGAGCCAGAGCCGGAGCCCGAGCCGGTGGGTGCCTGCCTGAGGGTGAGGATCGGAGGCCAGGCAGAGGGCAGTCCCGGGATGGGGCAGCAGGCTCCAGGGCTGCAGGATGAAAGACACAGGGTTGGGGGAGTGGGAAGATGCAGAAAAGATGCTGTCGGACCCCAGTCCCAGGGATTCGAGGGGTTCACTGTGAGAGCGGCAACTTGGCTGGCAGGACTGTTCCCTTCCTTCCCCTCCCTCCCAGGAGCCCTCCCAGGACGAAGAAAACAGCCTCAAGAGCTTCCAGCAGAAACGGAACTATTTCCAGAAGATGGGTGAGGGAACCCGGGGGGGTGGGGGCAGGCCCACGCAGAAGTTCGGCCACCGCCCCAGCCTGGCCAGGGGACAGTGGCGTGCATCTGTTCCCCTGGGTCTCTGTAGCCTGTCCAGGAGCGTGGACAGGCAGGCCAGGTGGAGGATGACAGGCCGGGCCATCTGCACTTCCAGGGCAGCAGCAGATCAGGGTGAAGAAGGTGAAGCCTCCAGCCAAGGTGCAGCTCCCCCGAGGGGAGGAGCAGGAAGAGGAGGAATTCACTGCAGGTGGCAGGGGCTGGGGGAGGGCCTGGCTCTGCAGTTCGGCACAGGGTCGCACAGGGTCTCACGAGCTTCCTCTCCTCCCTGTCAGTGCCCACAGTGAAGAAGCCACCGGCCCCAGGGGCTGCCAAAGCTGCACCGGAGCCTAAGGCCGAGCTGGCCCGGGAGGCGGAGCCTGGCCATGGGGCCAGGCTGGCGCAGGGCAGAGACTCGGTGCGGGGCTCGGAGGCCCAGAGAGCGCCCAGCAGGGAGATCCGTAACATCATCCGCATGTACCAGAGCCGCCCAGGCCCCGTGCCTGTGCCTGTACAGCCGTCCAGGTGGGCCCGGGGTGGCCGGCGCTGCCCACTCCCCGGGGAGAAACCCTGCGGACTCCTGACCTTTTCCTTCCTCAGGAGGCCCCCCCAAAGTTTCCTGAAGAAAAACAACCCTAAAGATGAGGCTCTGGCTAAGCTGGGGATCAGTGGTGCCCACTCGCCCCCCTCGGTGAGGCCCGTCCCGTCCCATCCCGGGCCGGGCTGCTCTGCTCAAGTCGGAGGCTCTCCGGGGTCAACTTGGCCTTCTCCTTAGACGCAGCTTGGGCTGCGTGTGTTCTCAGTCTCCACAGACACAGTCTCCCGGCTCGGGGAAGGGCCCTGCCCCCGCTGTGGCGCCCCGACCCAAGGCCTCACCACGGTTCAGGGCCTCCAGCTCCATCAGGGAGAGGCAGGGCCCCCTTCAGGAGCTGTTCGGCCAGAAGCCACCTGCTGCCCAGGCTCCTCCACCTCCACCAGCACCCCCACTGCCTCCATCCGGGGACCCGGGGACCCCTTCAGCTGAGCCCCGCGGTAAGGAACCCCACGACCCCAGTGGTGGGCGCCCTTGCAGGGGTGGGGGCAGGGTTCCCAACAGCCTCTTGGCGCTCGCGGCTGAGTCCAGCTGCTCCTGGACTTTGGAGCCCCAGCTGAGGAGCCCCAGCTTCCTCGTTCCTGCCCAGGGCTGGGCCCCGGTCCCCCGGGCCTGTCTGGCACTGAGGGACTGTCACACACAGGGTGTTGGCCTGTCAGAAATTGGTGGCCCTGCTGATGTAGTCGGGGCGGGGGCCTGTGGGTGGGGTGCTGGCAGGTGAAGGTTTTCTGTCCCGAGCCTCCCCCCGGGCTCCGGCTGCTCCTCAGCCCTGCTCCCGCGACCTCCCTCTGCCAGGCTGGCTGGAGCCCGCGGGGGACCAGGGGATCAGCACCTGGCTGCTTGTGCCCTCCGGCAGCGTGTGCTTCTCCTACACCAGTGCGCCCTGGAGGCTGTTCCTACGCAAGGAGGTGGGCCTGAGGGCGGGATGCAGCCTGGCCTCTCTGGGCAGGGGAGGGGTGGCAGGCTGTGGGGGACCCAGGTGGGGACCCCAGCCTCTGCGACCCCCCCCCACAAACACGGGGAGCTGCTGCCCCACGACCTGCCTCCTCGGGCCGGTTTTCTGTACGTCCTGGGAGGTGGAGGTGGGGCAGGAAGGGGCCGCGCGGGGGCGCCATGTCTGCTGTCCCTCTGCCATGCCCTCCCCTAGGTCTTCTACCCCCGGGAGAACTTCAGCCACCCCTACAACCTCAGGCTCCTCTGTGAGCAGGTGAGAGCACAGCCCACCTGCCCCGTGCACAGACGGACCACACCCACACCTGGGCCAGGTTACGGCCAGTGCGCAGACAGGGTGACAGCCAGCACTCAGGGGCACATGCTGGTTCAATCCCTGCTCCTTTATGTAATCCTCAACATCCCCACGAGTAAGGACCATGACTGTCCCATGACGAGGTTGGAAGTCATGTCCACAGTACCCAGCACAGGAGGCGCTCCCTGGGGCTAGTTCCCCCTTGTCTCTGTGCTCCCAGGACCGTGCCTGTCCTCCAGGTCTCCAGTAGCCTCCCCCAAATTCTGCTTCTTCAGGGAAGCTTATTTCCGCTGACCAAGGAACAGCAGGCAGCAGGGGGGCGGGCAGGAGGGAGCTCTGGGTGGCCGGGGCCCTGGGCTCAGAAGCCCCACCTCCCCCCTGCCCCATCTACCCCCGAGGGCTCTCCAGCTTTTCCTTCGTGCGGGGCTGCTTTTGTGTTGGGCTCTGGCCTCAGGACCTGGTGGTGACCGCCTGGCTCTGCCCCCAGATCCTGAGGGACACCTTTTCTGAGTCCTGCATCCGGATCTCCCAGGACGAGCGGTGCAAAATGAAAGACCTGCTGGGTATGACCCAGGGACGCTGCAGTCAGGGAATGGGGGTACTGGGGTCTGGGCCTGCCTGGAGGGAGAGGGCAGACTCTGAGGCTCCCCGGGGATACTGGGGTCTGGGCCTGCCTGGAGGGAGAGAGCAGACTCTGAGGCTCCCCGGGGGTACTGGGGCTGGGCCTGCCAGGAGGGAGAGGGCAGACTCTGAGGCTCCCCGGGGGTACTGGGGCTGGGCCTGCCAGGAGGGAGAGGGCAGACTCTGAGGCTCCCCGGGGGTACTGGGGCTGGGCCTGCCTGGAGGGAGAGGGCAGACTCTGAGGCTCCCCGGGGGTACTGGGGCTGGGCCTGCCTGGAGGGAGAGGGCAGACTCTGAGGCTCCCCGGGGGTACTGGGGGCTGGGCCTGCCTGGAGGGAGAGGGCAGACTCTGAGGCTCCCCGGGGGTACTGGGGGCTGGGCCTGCCTGGAGGGAGAGGGCAGACTCTGAGGTTCCCCGGGGGTACTGGGGGCTGGGCCTGCCTGGAGGGAGAGGGCAGACTCTGAGGCTCCCCGGGGGTACTGGGGCTGGGCCTGCCTGGAGGGAGAGAGCAGACTCTGAGGCTCCCCGGGGGTACTGGGGGCTGGGCCTGCCTGGAGGGAGAGAGCAGACTCTGAGGCTCCCCGGGGGTACTGGGGCTGGGCCTGCCAGGAGGGAGAGGGCAGACTCTGAGGCTCCCCGGGGATACTGGGGGCTGGGCCTGCCTGGAGGGAGAGAGCAGACTCTGAGGCTCCCCGGGGGTACTGGGGCTGGGCCTGCCAGGAGGGAGAGGGCAGACTCTGAGGCTCCCCCGCTGTGAGGCAGCGTAGGACAGTCTGGGGCCGTCCTGCCCGCAGGAGACATGGAGGTGGGCCTGGACTCACTCGTCACCACTGAGGACAGTGTCATGAAGCGCATTGTGGTGGCCGCTAGGGACAACTGGGCCAATTACTTCTCCCGCATCTTCCCAGTGTCGGTCAGTGAGGTGGGGGTGGGGCGGCACAGCCTGGGCCTTTGGCAACAGGGATGGGAGTTGGAGGTGGGGTGGGCGTCTTGGATGGTGGAGGGGACCCAGCAACGGGTGCACGACCCCACTTCTGGGCAGGGCGAGAGTGGCAGCAGCGTGGAGCTGCTGGGTGTGTCCCACCGGGGGCTGAGGCTGCTCAAGGTGACCCAAGGCCCCAGCATGTACCTCCACCAGCTGAAAACTCTCTGCTCCTACAGGTGAGCCTGGCTCGTGGGGGATGGGGAGGGTGGAGAGAGGGCCCCAGCTCACGCCCCACCTGTGCACAGCTTTGCGGAGGTACTAGGCGTGCAGTGCCCGGGAGCCTCCACCCTGGAGCTGACGCTGAAGACTGAGCAGCTGGTGCTGCACACGGCCCGGGCAGGTGCCCTCAAGGCCACCATCGAGCTCTTTCTCCACGAGCTCAAGAAGGCGAGTGTGCGCTGCGAGGGGGCAGGCCCCCCCTATGCTTCGTGGGTTCGCTGGTCTCGGCTGTCAGTCAAGCTCCTCCAGGCCGCCGGGGTGGGACTGGGAGTTCCGACGGGGTCCCTGGAACTCTGGGGTGCTGCGGCAGGATGAGACCAGTGACGGGGGAGAGGTAGGGCAGGCAGGACAGGGCCACAGGCTGGCTGGCTGCTCCCCGTGCCGCTCACCCTCCTGCCCGCAGGACTCCGGCTACGTCATCGCCATTCGGAGCTACATCACTGATGACCGCAGCCTCCTCAGCTTCCACCGTGGGGACCTCATTAAGCTGCTGCCGGGGAGCAATCTGGAGCCAGGTCTCGCCAGGGGCGAGCAGGGCGCGGGCAGGGAGGTGGCACTGAGGGGCAGGGGCCAGGTGGGTGAGGCGCTGCCCTGCATGCCTTCCAGGCTGGCAGTTTGGCTCCACCGGGGGCCGCTCCGGACTCTTCCCCGCCGCCCTCGTGCAGCCGGCGGCAGCGCCAGGCTTCTCCTCCTCGCTGGGGCAGAGAGCCCACCAGCCCCAGGGGCAGCCGGCGCAGCGGGACAGGGCGTTGGAGGTGAGGAAGACAGGAGAGGCGGTGGTAGGAGTCGAGGAAGGACAGGGCTTCGTGGCCCCAGAGCAGTGAGGATCAGCCTGCCGCTCTCTCCCCGTGTCTTGCCTCGTCTCCCCACCAGGACTGAGCTCCCTTTGGGCAGGGGCTGCGCTGTTTGTCCTTCCCGTGTCCCTGGTGGTGCTTAGTTCAGTGCTGCCCTAGAAGATGCTCAATAAAAAGCTCTTGACTCTCCTGACTTCTGGTGGTGTGCTCACTGCAGTTGCTCTGCCTGCTCCTCTTGGCTTGTGCTGGGCTGGGCTGGGTGGGGCGGGGCTGGGTCTCTGGGCAGGCCAGTGGGCACTCGGGTGGCACCAGGTCTCCTGTGCTCCCAGGGCCCCGCCCGACCCTGGAGCCAGGCACACAGCGACCACTCAGAGGCCAGCAGCCTGCCCTTCTCTATGGTCTCTGCCTCTCTGTCCACGGACTCCCACAACTACAGCATGCAGGAGTTTGCCCTGAAATACTTCAGGCAGCCCCAGACCTTGTGAGTGCCCGGAGCCACCTCCACGCCTGTCTGTCCTCAGTTTCCCCGAAGTGGGCCTCCTGCTCAGGGTCCCCAGGCCACAGCCTGGGGTGGGCTGAAGGGCTGAGCAGGCAGGGCTGTGCTCCTCTCTGCCCCTCAGGCCGGACCAGGCAGGTGGAGGTGCTCCGGGGAAGGCCGTGGCCAGCCTGGTGCAGTACACCAAGGTAGGGGACAGGCAGTGGGGAGTCGGCCGTGCACCTGCCCCCGGGGCCCCAGACCCACAGCCCGCCTCTTTGGCCGCAGGCTCCCATCCAGGAATCGCTCATGAGCTTTAGGGATGAGGACACGAACAGGCAGGCTGTGGAAAGCTTCCAGGGTGAGTGGCCGCCTGGGTCCCCCCGTCTGCAGTCCCTCGGACCTAGGCATCTGGTTGCCTTCTCTCCTTAAGTTTGCCAGCTCAGGGTAGTTCACAGGAGGTTCCTATACCCCCATGGCCTTCACCCAGTTCTCCTGCCCAAAGAGTTGTGGGTTGTGTGGAGTCTGGGCTGGAGGGCAGCAGTGGGCGCACTGTGTGGGGCTACATGCACCCCCAAAATCTCCCTGAGCCTCGTTTCCTCGTCGGTGAAGCTGAGTCTGCAGCTCCACTGGCTCGCACACACTTTCAGAGCAAGGCACCCAGTGGTGTGGGGACAGCGTGAGCCAGGGCCAGGTCCCCCTGTCCCCATGCTTCTCATCCTGCCTGCAGTTCTGATGCAATTTATGGGGGACCAGCCCAAGCCCCGGGGCAAGAACGAGATGGATCTCCTCTATGAGCTGCTGAAGGTGAGCGAGAGCTGTGTGTGCCGGAAGCTGGGGGGAGACACCGGGAACCTGAGGATGAGTTCCTGTCCTCCTGCCTGGGCCTGAACGGGACCCCCTTTCCCTTGGTCACTATTCATTCAAATCATCCACAAGTATCGACTGAGCAACCACCATAAGCGGGGGGCGTGGCAGTGAGCCAAGCTGGCCAAGTCCCGCAGCTTAGGGCCTGGTTGGAGGAGTCAGTGAACGAGGTGGTGTCAGGGAGGGGCGGGGCCCTGAGGAGGGCAGGGCAAGGGGCTGCCGGGGTGCAGAAGGCTGACCCTGGAGCAGAGATCTGGAGAAGCCTGGGAGTGAGGCCCGTGTGGACAGAGCGAGGGATGGGGGGACAGTCCTGGTGAGGCGGTGGGCTTTCCACCTGCAAGCCAGTGTGGCTGGAGCCCAGAGCGCTAGGGGGGAGTGGAGGGTGCGGCCCCAGAGGGCACGTGAGGGAGAGGCCCCAGAGGGACAGTGGGTCCAGGAAGGATTTTGGAGACGTGGCTTGTTTGCCGGGGTTGCTCTGGCTGTCGCGTGCTATTCTGGGGCCTAGAGCAGAGGTTACTGCAATGGTCCCAGGTGAGAGGCGGTGCTGGCAGGGACGGAGAGGGCAGCAGAGAAGCAGGTTTGGGGGAATTGCTTGGGGGGGGGATTGCTTGTGAGGGGGGAGGGGCGGTTAAAGGGCCAGGGATGCCACCGGTCTTGCCCAGAGCAACGCTGGGGTTCGATGAGGAAGCCTGAGGGAGGCACAGGTCTGGGCTGCAGGAGGAATTTTGGACGTGTGAGGTCTGAAGTCACAGACTTCCGAGGGGAGGGCCTGGGGTTCGAGGGAGGAGTCTGGCTGGAGGCAGGCACTAGGTCACCCGCAGACGGAAGCAGCTAAGAGCATCAGGGAGGGCGCAGACAGCAGCCCGGCCGCAGCCCTTAGCGCCCAGGCAGTAGGAAGAGCCGAGGCGGCTAAGAGGGAGCGGAGCAGGCGGGACAGGCCCAGCGCGGCCGGAAGAGGTGAGCACAGCGACTTAGAGTGACCGGCTGTGCGGACGCTGCTAAGCTGAGTGTGACATGGCGACAGGGATGACCACCGGGCTGGCACCTTGACTTGGCCGCCAGCAGAATTAGTGTCTCCCTGACTTGAGACCCTGCACCATTCTCACATCGCCGCACTCTGCCTGCCCTTTCTGTCCCGTAGCTGTGCTGGGAGAGGGAGAACCTCAGGGATGAGATCTACTGCCAGGTCATCAAGCAGGTCACGGGACATCCCCAGCCGTGAGTATGGGGGTGCTGGGGAGGCTGGCGGGCAGCTCGCTGCATGGTCCGGTCGCGAGCCCCGGCCGCCCGCCCTGCAGGGAACTCTGCGCTCGAGGCTGGAGCTTGCTCAGCTTCCTCACGGGCTTCTTCCCCCCGTCGACCACACTGATGCCCTACGTGACCACGTTTCTGCAGGAGTCAGGCAGAACTCAAGGTGCCTGTGGGAGGGGCTTCCAGGTGGGCCTCGGCTGCTTGGGGAGGGGTTTGGAGAGCCTGTGACCCCCACCTGGCTCCCCTGCAGAGCTGGCCTGGAGCAGCCAGGAGCACCTCCAGCGCACAGTCCAGTATGGGGGGCGCCAGCGCCTGCCATCCCCGGGTGAAATGAAGGCTCTCCTGGTACTGGGGGTGCAGGCGGCTGGGCGTTCTGGGGGTCCCTCGGGGTGGGGAGAGCTGGGGCCTCTCCTGTGGTGACTGACCCTCCACGTGCCTTGGCAGAAGGGGAAAAGGGCCCGCCTGTTCCTAATCCACATGCCCGGAGGCATGGGCTACAAGACCAACATCGGGACTTTCACTGTGAGCTCGGGACCAGGCAGGGGCTGGGGCGAGCAGGGAAGCTGCGGGCGTCAGCTCTGGCCCGGCCCCCATCACGGCCCTGTCCCCGTGCCAGGTGGCAGCAGAGGTGCTGGAGGAGCTGTGCAGGAAGATGGGCATCACGGACCCTGAGGAAGTACAGGAATTCGCCCTGTTCCTCATCAAAGGGGAAGGTGAGCCACTCGCCATGGTGGAAGGCCTCCAGGCTGGGTTTGGGGTGGCTCACCTGCCACGCCCCCTGTGCGGGGGTGGGGGGGGTTGGCCGCTCCCAGAGCTGGGCGGGGCTGGCCCTGGGTGGCAGGGCGGCTGCGAGCCTGGGCTCCCCCTGCAGGCGAGCTGGTGCGGCCCCTGAAGCCCCGCGAATACCTCAACAACGTGGCGGTGGACCCAGACGTGAGCCTGCACAGCCGGCGGCTCAGCTGGGAGACCCGCCTGCACTTCGATAACCCCACCTACATCAGCACCCACTACAGCCAGGTCAGCCCCCGGCCCCGGGCCGCTGCGCCCCTGGCATCTGGGTGCCAGCAGTCACTGCCTGGGCGGGCACCTCCAAGCCGCCCTCCCCGGAAGGAGAAGGGATGGCGGCAGGAACTGGCCGGGCCTTTAGGGCACAGCTGCCCCTCACTGCTCGGCCCTCAGGTGCGGCGGGACTACCTGCAGGGGAAGCTGCTGGTCGGCACCCAGGCAGATGCCCAAGTTGCCAGGCTGGCTGCCCTACAGCACGTCAGCAGGGCCCAGGAGGAGCCCCCCTCAGAGTGAGTGCAAGCAGGGTCCCCCGCACCTGCTGTCACCTCCCTTCTCCCCCTGGTGCCGAGGCCACCCTCCGCGGCCTCTCCTGCAGCCCAGCTCAGCCTGCACTCCGCGGCCTGGCCGACCAGAGGGGCCGAGCAGCGCAGGCTCAAGGGCAGGGGCCCCGTTTGTGTCTGGATCCTCAGTCTCACCCACAGTGGCCACCGGTTCATACTTAGCACCGGCTGCATGCCCAGCCTTGACCGACCTGGCCGTGTCCTAGGCAAGACCTGCTGGCGTACTTGCCCAAGCCGCTGCACTGCCAGGCGAACGTGGCGGCCATGAGGAGCCTGGTGGACCAGGAGCTGAGGCAGCTGCAAGGACACAGCTCCCAGGAAGCTCAGATCAGCTTCATCGGTGGGTCTGGGCCAGGGGCCGCTGGGGAGGAGGCAGGAGGCAGGAGGCCCAGGAGGGGAGGGTAAGTGTGGAGGGGCTGAGAAAGCTTCTCCACCTTCCCTGGCCCTCCCCTGACCTGGGGGCCAACCGGGCCAGGTCCTGGGGCCCCAGTGGCCTGAACCCCAATCTTCATCTTTCCCCTCCACCCCAGAGGCTGTGAGCCAGCTGCCCCTCTTTGGTTACACCGTCTACGTGGTGCTGCGAGTGAGCAGCCTGACCCTGCCCAGACCCAGCCTCCTGGGCCTGAACCGCCAGCACCTCATCCTCATGGACCCCAGCTCCCAGGTGGGCAGACGCCTGCCCCAGTGCGGGCCTGGGCACCCACAGGACCCCTCCTGAGAGGCGCCAAGCTCTGTCTCTCTGTTGCCCCCAGACACTGTGCTGCTCCATCGCCCTGAGGGACCTGCATCGGTTCCACCTGCTGAGGCCCCTGGAGGCAGAGGGGCCCCCTGGCCTGGAACTCAACTACGGCTCCGCCGACAACCCCCAGACCATCTGGTTTGAGCTGCCGCGGGTGAGTGGCCCGGGCCTCTGACCACCCTGAAGTGGCGAGTGCCTCACCCAGGGTTGGCATGCCTGGGACCCGGGTGTCGGGGGCTGGCGGGGGAGCCCTGCCCTCACGTGCCTGTGCCCCGCAGGCCCTGGAGCTGAAGCACACCATCTCCTTCCTGCTGGACAGCAGCGGCCCTTCCTTGTAGCTGCCGGCCTCACCCAGCAGAACGGGAAGGGCAGGAAGGGCCTCTCCCTGGGCCAAGCCTCATCTGACAGTCTCCCTGGGTGCGGGTCGGCCACTTTGGTTTGGACTTCATGGCTGCTCTGGGACGTGCCCAGCACAGCCTGGCTGGCCACGCGGGGGCCACAAGGCTGTCAGAGTGACATCAACTGGAAGAGAGAGCCAGGAGACTCCTCAGGGGCGAGTGGGGGCGGGGCTGTAGGAATCCGGCTTGGGCATCTGATGTTGCCCAGTCTGGGGGAGATGCCCACCTGGCCCCGGCTCAATGTCAGCACGAGCCCAGACCTGGGAGAAGCAGCTGCAGGGGAAATAAAAGTCCTGAGAGAAGAGACTGTGAGTGTCGGAGCAAACGGCTTTATTCCCGGCCGGCCTCCCTGCACAGGAGCGGCGGGAGCAGACTGGCTGCTGCCCCTCCCGAGCTCTGAGCCTGACCCGAGGCAGCAGGGCTCTCCGCTGGGCCCTGCCATGCACAGTGCGCCCCGGCTTGCAACGTAAGCACAAGGGGTGGAGGGACCTCTTCTTCCTGGTCCCCTGGCCACAGCCACACCACCCACACCCGTCTGCTCTGGGGACCCAACTCAGAAAACCCAGCCATGAAGGCCAGGAGAGGCTCGGAGAGAGGACCTCAGGCCTCACAAGTAAACAGAAAGGTGGGCTGACCTCTGGCCTCTGACCTTGACCGGGAGGTGTCTGGGGCCATCTCCACAGCAAGGAGTGGTGGGAGGGGAAGGACCCCGAGAAGGGACGGCCGGGCAGCAGCAGGCCTACCCACCTTCCCCATTCCCAAGTCAGGCCCAGGCTAGCCCGTGGTCAAGTCCGGGGAAGGACGCTGGCCCCACTGGGCAGCAGCTGGTCATCTCTGTGGGGCACACAGGCCGTGCCAGTCAGCTTCACTCTCACACCGGGCCCGGCCATGGAAAAACTGCTTGATGAGGTTCTGGGCCTCTTCCTTCACTACGGATTCGGGGTGAGGAACGCGAGGGCCAGCCTCCGTCCTGCAGACCCCCCAAGGGCCTCGTGGCCTGGGGTGCAGGCTCTCACCACTCCTTCCAGGAGAGGGCTTCTGAGCCAGCCAGTGCGAGAGGTGGCGGGCGAAGGCTTTAAACAGGTCCTGGAGACGGTGCAGAGGATCAGAGGGCACAGACCCCTGCCCTGCCCCAACAGCCCACAGCCGAGACCAAAGGGCAAGGCAGACGGGAGGCAGCTGGCCTTGGGCAAGCCCGCCTCCCCGTGGCAGGCCCTCCCCACACTGCACCTGTGCCCCCAGAGGGGACCCCACCCACCTCGCCTACCTTGGATGCAAACCTGCCCTCTTTGTAGAAAGGGGTCAGGCATTTGACAACAATATTTGCAGCCTCCTTCAGGGAGACGCCAGGAGCTGGGAGCTGGTGGGAGCCTTGGGCTGGGAGGTTGACGGTGACCTGAGTACTGGCCAAGATGTTGTCCTTGGCCTCGGCTAGAATGGAAGCACCGGCCGCAGGGCGAGGCCTCTTCTGCGCCTGGCTCTCCAGGTTCTCCTGGGCAGGGCCACAGCGGAAGGTCACGGCCCTGGCCCTTCCGGAAGACTGAGCCGCAGCACTGCTGGCTCCCCCAGCCCCGCCCACCTGCCCCTGGGATGTGGAGAGAAGACATGACCTTCCCCAAGCCCCTACCCCAGAGCACAGCAGACTCGGGCCTGGTCCACAGGCCGCCTCCCACCCACCGTGGCCCTGCGCGTACCTGCTGGGGTCTGGGCCGCTTGCCCCTCTGTGTCTCCGCTGCGGGGGTGAGCTGGCCTTCGGGGGGCCCTGGGTCTCTGGGTAGACAGGCACTGGCCGAGCAGAGAGCGGGCGTCAGAGCCCCAGGTACCAGCTGTGCCCTGGGCCCAGGCAGCCCCCCCGGAGGAAGGGCCCTGAGCTGAGGCCATTAGTGACGGGATTTCAGGGGTTCCAGGACTGTCGACGCCCGTACCTTGGCCCCTCGCTGGTGGACTCCTTAGTCTGGGGCTGGGCAGCCAAACATCCCAGGGCTCCGTCCTCCTCCCCCGTGCGTTTCTCTGGGGCCACAGCCCGGAGTCCCTGCACCCCCTCACAGGAAGGGCTGGCACCCTCTGGCCCGGGGGCGGAGGCAAGCAGAGGTGGGCTCTCGGCCCTTGGGAGGAGGAAGCGGGCGATGCTCTGAGAGCCCTTAGCCGCAGCGGCGAGCAGCTGCTGCTTCTTGCTGGCCCGGGCCTTGGCACTGGGACTGCCTCCAGAGGGGCCTTCCGTCTTCTTCTCAGGGGAGGGCGCCCCACAGTGAGCACTGCTTCTGGGGGCCCCTCCTCTGAGCCCAGGGACAGGCCCCCTGCTCTCCTCCTGGAGGCCACAGGGCTGGCTGGGGGGCTCCTGCTGGCCTCTCGGCACAGGCCGGGGGGCTTGCCCCTCGGTCCGCATCTTCTCCATCAGCTCGGTGGCCGTCTGGAATGGGCAGGAGCCTTTGGGGAAACCAGCTCCCACCCGCTTGGGTTTGAGCTGTGAGAAGGAAAAGAGAGGTTCTGACCACCAGGCCCCTAGGGGCACTCACTGGCTGGCCCAGGTTTGGCTGCTTTGGGGGGGCCTTAGGAGTGGGGGTCAGGCTGAGGAGAGAGGAGCTGCGGGGCTGGAGAGGCCCAGCTGGCAGAGCAGGGAAGCTCAGGGCCTGCCCTGGGGCACCCTGGGGCCAGGGCCCGATGCCAGGAGAGGCCCAGGGAAGTGGCGGGCGCTAGGGCCCTGCTCACCGAGTACACCTGGGAGGCCGGCAGGATGTCTTGCTCGGAGGGCTCTGGGGGCTCACTGCAGCTTTTGGCACCGCCTGCCGTGGGGTAGAGCTGCCCGTCCTTGGAGGCTCTGTGGATCTCAGCCACCTGGGGCAGGGAGGGTGGTCATGCCCTGCACCCCTAGCTCCCGGCAGCCCCACCCCCAGGCTCTCCACACACGGACTTCCGTGGCCCGTGGCTGTAGGCAACTGGACATTGGACAAGTTCTGGTCCTCATGGGCTTGGCTAGAAATACCTCCAGCTGGCAAAGGAGGGAAGGGGGGCTCCCCTCAAGTGAGTGGTTTCTTGGGTGAGGGATGAATTCCGGGCTGCCTGGGGCCAGAGGGCAGGCAGACAGCCCGGACTGTGGAGGGGCTGCCTTCCCACCCTGACATGAGCATGCTCCCACACCCCTGCCTGGCGCCCACCTTCTTCAGCACGCTGGCCTTGTACAGGTTGGCCGCCTTCGTGTTCCGGAATATGTCATGTTCCAGCCCCACGGCCTTGGCCTGCAGGTCGGGCCTGGAGGAGAAAGTGTGAGGGGTCAAGCAGGCCTGAGCCCTCTCCCTGTTGAGCTCGATGGACTCCCCTGGGGGACGCTGAAGATGGCTCAGGCCTGGGGGTGGCCTTGGGTACAGGGATTCCAAATTAGACCAGCCGGGCAACCTGCAGCCCCTCAGTTGTGGCTGAGCCTGCCCTCTAGTGGGGCTGTGGGGACATGTACCACATTGGGGAGGGAGCTCCCAAACACGCCAGCCAGCGGGACCCAGGGTTCCTGCGGCTCCCAAGGGCACAGGACTTGGAGGGCCCTCTGCGGCCCCCATGACCCGGACACTCACCCATCGGCGGTGTCTGCAGCCGGGCAGTTAGCGCTCAGCGCCTCCTCCAGGAGCCGCAGGCAGTGCTCCCGGGCCTGCAAGGGGAGGGAAGCCGTCACGCGCGCCTCAAGGCTGGGGCAGGTGTGCAGAGCCGCCACCTCTTACCTTCACAGTGAGCCTGGGGATCTTCCTGCTACAAGCCTCTTTCAGGGGACAGTCCTCATCTGGGGGGAAAAGGTAGGCTCTCCACTCTACCCTCTGCTCTCTGGAGCCCTCAGCTCCCCTCCCTCAAGAAGGCATCCTCCATCCACGCCCTAGAAACAGCCTACAAGCCCCTGGGGACACTTCTGTACTGACCTGGGGGCACAAATTCTTCTGTCTTGGGGTCTTTGCCCTGGAAGATGACACGAAGGGTTTGTGAGGCATCCTGCCAGCTGAAGGACAGCACCAAGGTCAACCCCCGGGGAAGGGCTCAAAAGGGTGTGAGCAGGAGGCACCTGGGACCCCACAGCCCCACAGCCTTCACCTTGCGCAGACTCATCTGCTTCTGGTAGAAGAGGTTCCATTCCCGCTTACGGTCCTCATCTCTGCCCTCGTCCCCACTGCCTCCAGAACCTTCACTGTACCTAGGGGACAGGCTGGGCATGAGCAGCCCTGGCCTGGGCTCTGCCCTCCCTCTGCACCTCTGGAGGGGCAGGGATGTCCCTGTTGCCCTGGCAACTTGGGCAGCACTGATGTCCCAGCCCCAGCCTGGCCCATGGTGCAGGGGAACTGTGGCATGGTGTCGTCTCTGGTCTGAATGTCAGACTATTTCCAGTGGGTTGGGCACCTGGCTTCAGGGCCCCTCACCTGCTGAAGCCCCCATAGCCCCTGCGGCCTCCCTCATACAGCTCGGGGTCGAAGCCATTCCCCTGGGAGGGCCCAATGCAGGTCTTGCTCCAGCCGCTCCTGTGCTCCAAGGTGTCCAGCTGCTTCCGCACGGCCGCAGGGTTCTGGCAGTGGTCGCAGCCTCTGGTGCAGGTGGGGGGCACATCCCCGAAGTACTTGGCAATGGCAGCATGGCGGCACCTGGACCAGGCAGCACGGTGAGGCAACGGGTCAGGGACCCGGGCATCACTGAGGCTTGGGCTGAGCACCGCTGCGTATCCGGCACTGTGCTAACTGCATACTCGTCTCACAGAAGCCTCACAGGTGTCTCAGCTGCCACTGTACAGACGAGGACAGTGACGTGAAGGCGCTTTCCCGAGGCCACGTGGCACGTGGGGAATCCAGAGTAGCCAGGGTGTGACCCTGACTCTGTCTTGCTTCTCTAGGGATCACTCCTGTCCCCAGCAATGGGGTGCCCTGGGAGGAGCATGGGCTTGGGGTGCAGATGCTGACTGCTGCTGAGGCTGCACCCCTGGGGAAAGCACCGGACCTCTGCTGGAGGAAGCGCACTGGCCGCGAGCAGTGAGCACTAGGGCTGTGTCTGGGCTGGTGAAGCCCTGCCCACGGCATCTGGAGTCAGCAAGGGCTCTCACTATTACTACTTGTCACTCTTTTCTGGGGCTGGGAGAGGGAGGGAACAGCAGGAGGCGGCCCCACCCCGGCCTTGGTACTCCGCTCTGCTTCTGTCTTAGTGGCCTCTTCCTCACTGTCCCCAGCAAGCCTCTGCCTGGCCCAGTGCACACAGGCCAGCCGGGGACTGCATGAGAGCAGGACCCAGACAGCTCTGAGAGCTGGTACTGTATGCCAGTCACGGAGGCAGCGAGGACATGCAGCCTCGGCAGAGTCCTCCTCATGGCATCTTCCACTCGCAGCCCCCCTGATGCCAGCTTCCAGCTGTCTCTACTATGACTACCCAGGCTGGGGGCACAGTCAATCCATGGGCAGGTGCAGCTCTATCAAGCCCCTTACTAATGGCCAGTTCAGCTGCAAGAATGTGGTAGTGGGAGGAGAGCTGTCCAGGTGCCACATCCCAGGGATAAGAATAGCTGGTGCAAAAAACTCGGTAAGCAGCTGAGACCCCAAGGATCAGGCTCCAGAAACAAGAGCTGATTGTTACCCAGCTCCTAGGAAGCCCCGTGAGGCTGCCTGTTAAGCAGAGTGGAGAGCACACTCTGGAAGGGGGAAGACAGCAAGGAGGCCATGAAAGCCGCCAGAGGGCGCTGTTGCTGCCACTCCTAAAACCAATGTGTAATGTATGCTGTCGCCTAAGTCTGTACCTCTGCACAGTGGCTGCCTGTCCAGCCTCTGGGAGGCTCTGGCGTCCAAGTGGTGTGGCCACAAGGTTGGCTTCCTTACCCTCCCCATCCCCCACGCCTGACTCACTGGGGTTTTGTGCTCACACTCAAAGGGCTCCATTGACGGCGCAAAGATGCAGGCTGGGGTGGGCTCCTGTCCTGTTCCAGGCACAGTCTGGTCGGCTGGGGTGGCACAACCAGCCAAATGTCAAAGGGCTCAGCCAGCCACTGGGCTCTGGAGCCTGTCCCTGACAGCTGGGCCAAGGGGCAGCGACAGCCCAGCACACACGCCTTGGCAAGCAGGCCAGCAGGGTCCGCTTTCCTCTGGGCCCAGCAGTGAGGCGCAGCCCCAGCAAGCAGGCCAGGCAATGCCACTCCTGAGTCCCCAGAAGACCTCCCCAGGCTGCTGGCTTCTTGGGTGGTCTGGCACCTCCCCCTACTATTTACTTTCTTTCCCTAGAGAGGCCAGAGGGAGGGACCAGCTAGGGAGTTGCCTGAGGTGCAGGTTGGGGTGGTGGGGGACGAAGGGTAGGGCAGGAGCCAAGGAGCTGGGCGTGCTGTGCTGCGGGGCTGCTCTCCCTCCGCCCTCCCCACCCCACACCTCAGCTGGAACCTCCCTGGGGTCATCTTTGCCAGGGAACAGAGAGCCAACCTCCTCTTTCATCAACTCCCAGCCCAGGCCCAGCCCACGTGGCTTAGCACACACCCACCAGGAGGAGAGGAAGAGGAGGAACCAGCAGAGAGGGAGCTGGGCCCATGTGTGCCGACCACCTGGGCAGGGCAAGTTCCCGGCAGGACTCTGCCTGTGCCCAGGCAGCAGTGGCGCTGGCTCTCCCCCTTCGGTGGCCGCCCCTGTAATTTGACACTTGGATCTCCTGGACAACCAACAACAAAAAAGCTGGAGCCCAGATAGCAGCTGGCTGTCAGCATGGAGCAGCGCTCGCTGGCAGGAGAGGCGTCCAGGGAGTAGCACTGGGTCACGAAAGAGGAGTCTGAGAAGGAAGGGAGAGGTGGCGGCAGGCCGAGGACAGGCCGGAAGAGGAGAGGCCGGCTGAGGCTGCCCGGCTCCCCAGCACCTGTGCTCGCACCCCAGGCTCCAACACCTGAGCTCCCAGGTGAGTGGCCACAGATGAGGGGGGATGAAGGGAACAGAGCAGCAAGGGTCCCTTGCCCCAAGGGTGGAGGGCCACATTTTACCATGGGGGACACACTTGGTCACAGTCTCTGTACGCCTCCCATTCAAACTAGGCTCTCGCTGCTTCTGCTGGGACCCAGCACGGGGGGACACAGGCCGAGACTGCAGCCTCTTCGCGGGTGGGTTCCTCCCAGCTTGCTGAGCAGGCCCAGGGTGCTTGCTTACTCTGCAAGTTAGTTTAAGCTTTTTCCATTCAGGGGGCTTAAACAAGGGATTTGGCTGCCCTGGCATGGGAGAGAAACATGGCTTGCCCACTGAGCCTCCTCCCTTCTCCCAGGATCAAGGCACGGCCCTCCCTGGCCTGCTCTCCCCAGTCCAGGAGGCTCCGTGCAAGCTCTGCCCAGGCATTTCTCCCCCGGGGTGGGGCAGTCCCATGGCAGCTCTGCCGGTCTGTGTCCCAGACAAGAGGCAGCACCCACTCCCTGCCAGGTGCGCCAGCTCAGGGCTCTGCTCAGGTGCTCCTCCCTGGGCCCCTTTAGATCCCCATGAGCCCTAAATCTCCCAGAAATGAGAGAGACTCTAAACCCAGGGTCAAGTGGGGAGCCGGTGAGGAGGTGGAACTGAGGCTGGGGGAGGGTCCGCCCTGGTATCTGGCCCTCTGTTGTCCCACTGTAAGGCTGACCCCAAGACAGCTCTCTAACCAGCAGGGAGAGTGGCCCTCGGCAGGGCCCCTGAGCCAGGCTGGCTGACTCCTCCGCCTCCCTGTCCTCACACCAGGGTTAAAGTCTCTCTCCCCACCCCCCAGACGCCTTCCCCAAAGCAAACAAGCTGGTATCTACTTAGAAAAACAACGATCTAGGGAAAAGTGGAAACCAAGGATCAGCCCGTTCTGGATCTGCAGAGGCTGAGGGATTTGGCCTGGGCTGCTGGCTGGGGAGACAGGTCCTACAGTGATGGCGGCACATGGTGGAGAGTAGGGACAGACGCTGGGCTGTTAGAGGCAACGCGCAAGGTGGGGGAGGGAGGGGTGCAGCAATGAGCCCTGGCTACCCCTGCTGGCTCTTATCCCCAAGATGCCCCAGGCAGGCAGGCAGTGATGGGAGCCCAGCACCCACAGGACACAAGTGGACAGGGGGCCCAAACACAGTCATTGAGCTGGCACAGAGGGTGATGCCCAACTTCTGGGGCTTTGGGCACCATTAGCAGCAGCAGGAAGTACCTCCTCCTGTCCTGAATGGCTACAGAGTTGGAAAAGCGGGGACTGTGGAGGGTTCAAGGGTCAACTTCCCACTGCAAGTTGAAGCCCAGGCAAAAAAAGTTTTCGGGGGGAGGCACAACACACAGTGGGCATCTGTCTTGCTAGCCTGGCCTGTGGACCCCACAAATCTCCCACATACATATTGGGTAATTATTCATTCTAGATGTTTCTCAAATAAGACAAGGCCCTGGGGGGAAGGTGGCTGAAAACCACCCTGACAAATAACAGGGGCAGAGAGAGAAGCCCTGAGGCCCTGAGCCATCCCACTGTAGTTATCAGTCACAAACACAGCCCTGCCTCCCCGGGAGCTGCAGTATCAGCTCTGCAAGGAGGAAACAGGGAGCTTCAGTCTGAGTGGCAGGTGTCTGGCCTGCAGGGTGCCTGGCTGCTCTGGTCCAGATGACACACACAGGAATGTGTCCCCGTCTGTCTGGCTCTGCCAGCCTTCCTCTTTGCCCTGCTCATCTCCCCTCCGCTGGCTGCCACTCCAGCCGGGGGCACCCTGGGAAGGCTCCAAGGAGGGCCGTGCAGGCAGCGGGGTGCTCTCCCTTCCTGCTTCCTGCGGCCAGGCGGTGGGGAAGCCACCACTTGCTCTGGCTCTTTCCAACTGGCGCGCTACCCAGCACGGGGTGGGAGGGACTCTGGTTTCCCTGGTCTGTAGGCAGAAGGTACAGTTTTGGGAAGAGTTTGGTGGACAAGAGACAGAAAGACCAGAAAAATGGAGAATTCTCAATAGCCCCACTAGACTTCTCTGCTTCCCTCCCTGCAACCTGGGAAGGGACTGGGGAGGACAGGCAGCCAGCCCCAGAGCACCCACTTTCCCCAGGCAACAGCTGGAAACACTTAGGGCTCCCTACAGAGCAACAGCTGGGGCACAAGCCATGAGGTCACCTGATGGCTGCTGGCTATATTGGGCACCAGGCGCCAGGCACCCCCTGGGCCTTGCTTTAAATAGCCCACTGAGAAGACCGCCTGGGACCTGCTGGAATGTGCCTTCTCCCTCTTAGGAAAAAGGGGCCCTCCAACTCCCCTGTGGTCCCCACTGAGGCGCCTTCTGCTCAAGCCCAAGCTGGAAATGAGAAACTGGAAGCCAAGGGGCTCCTCTTCAGTCTTTGGGGCAGAGGAGCTGTGACCAGCAGCCCCACTTGTGGTCCCAGTGCAGATGGGATACAGGGAGCAGCCCTGGACTGGGCGAGGCTGGCCAGCTCGGGTCTCCAGAGGCCCTGAGTGCAAAGCCATGATGCCATCCACGCCCATGGCCTGCTGCTGCTGTGGACTAACAGTCTTCGGCGGGGGTGGGGGGAGGTGGGCGAGGGCCCCCTGGGCAGGAGTCTGACGTCATCAGTCCCTGGAGGGTGACTGACTTTAGAGCTGAAGCTTCTGATCAACAAACCCCGCCTTTCCTGCACAGCCCAACCTGGGCGGCCCTCCTCCTCCCTGCCACGCCCTCTGCCAGCCCTCAGGGTCTCTGGGCAGGGAGCACAGTGCAAAGCCCCCCCTGCCCTCCCTCTGGCCCTTTAAGAAGCATCTCTGATGGTTCCATTAGGTGATGCAGGCGCCAGGCACTCAGGCTGAAAAGGCAGACCAAGTGTAGAGGCGTGCAGGGAGGGAGAGAGGCAGCCCTGCTCCTCAGCTGCACTCTCTCCCCAGGAATGGGGCCAGCCCTGGAGCCAGGGGAGCAGGGAAGCCCACAGGCCTCAGAACTAGGGAGTGGGAGGAAGTCTGTCTGGTGTGGCCATAAGAGAGAGGTCCTGTGCTTTGGACTGAATCTGTGGACCTGAAACAGAAAGACACACAAGATCCGTCCCTTTGGTGGCTCTCACAGGCAGGTGTGGCCTCGGCCTGGTGAGGGATGTGCCCGATAAAAACCATCCCAGGCTCACGAGAGTGGGCTAGGGCTGCTCACGCGGAGCCCGCCAGCTTCCCAAGGTCTCTGGGGCCCAGGCCACTGAGCTGAGCCCCCCGCATGGGCAGCTGTTCCTGGGCTAACTTATCTTCCTGGTCAAAGAGTAGGCTGCTCAAGACACGGCTACCGAGAGGCAGCCTACCGAGAGGCAGCGTGGGATAGTGTGGGGATGGCTGGCCGACCCGTCCTGCTGTGTGACCTTGGAGAAGTCGATTCCTCTCCCAGGTCTCAGTTTCCCCATTTGTAAAAGAAAGGAAGCAGAGTGATGTGCTGTGGCATTCTGAGTCTACGCCTAGTCCCAGTCTTCTCTGCGACACATGCTGGCCCTGGAGCGGGTGTGAGAAAACAGGGGCCCTGAGTCCAGCAGCCCCCCATTTTGTTGTTGTTAATCCTCACCTGATGATATGTTTTCCACTGATTTTTTAGAGCGAGTGAAAGGGAGAGGGAGGGGAAGGGGGAGAGAGAGAGAGAGAGAGAGACATCGATGTGAGAGAGACATAATCGGTTGCCTCCCACATGTGCCCCGACTGGGGCCAGGGATTAAACCTGCAACCCAGGTACATGCCCTTAACCGGGAATTGAACCCACAACCCTTCAGTGAGCCAGCTGACGCTCTAACCATTGAGCAACACCAGCCAGGACCAGAAGCCTTCCACTTTGACAGGAAACCAGCTAATCTGCCACGAACCCGTCACTGCCTGCTACTCCCAGCATCACTTAGAACAGCTCCCCACCTCCGGCTCGCCCCCTTCCTTCACCTCACATTCCGCAAACATTCTGGAATGAAGGTCACAATGAAACTCCCCCATGGTGTCTGAGGAGGGCCCCTGACAGTGCACAGGGAGGCGTAGCTCCCCTGAAGACCACCTCCACTCTCCTGCACCGGCCAGCCCCCACCAGGGGGAAGCCCACGTGCTGGCACCTCATCTTCACGTGCCACAAGCCAGGGGGCCAGGAGACTGCTGGCTGAAGCGGGAGGGAGGCAGCCTCAGATCCCGGGGTGCACCGGATGCTCCGGGGCAGGCGGCTGGCACAGCGACGAGAGACTGACTTTGAGGAGATGCAGGAGGCCCGCCCGCTGCCCTCCAGATCCTGGAGGACTGAGGCAAAGTGGCAGCAGAGTGTCCTAAGGGACCACAGGTGGGGCTGACGGGGTCATCTGAGGTCCCATCTTCCGCCGATCCGAGCTGCCCCAAGAAGGAAGGGGTGGCTGTGGTAGCGGGTGGGGCTCCCACCTCACCCAGAGGGGCTCAGAGGCTGCGCAGCACAGGGAGGGCGGGAGCCAGGCGCAGGGCAGAGGGTGGTTCTGAGCAGCTGGGCCGTGGCACTGCTGGGAGTGACCACGGCCACCTCGGGAGAGCCCGCCTGGCTGACACCAGGGGCGAGGCGGCAGTAACTGGAGCCTCAGGTCTGGCACAAGCCCTGGCCACCTGTTACCCCCCTTGGAGAGCAAGTTCGGGCTGGGTTGGCACAAGGCTGTCCCTGGTCCCTGCCTGAGGAGGCGCTGGCTCCCTGTGCCATAAGGAGAAGCAGGGGAAGAATCTCCGCGACACGACACGCCCAACGCTGACTGCCCTGCCCTCGCTTCGGCCCGGGCTTCCCAGGCCCGGAAAGGCTCTGGGTCATGGGGCCGGGCGGGCTGAGTTGCCACATACCTGGGGCACATGTGTGAGCAGAGGGGACCCTCCTGGTCAGCCCAGAGGAGCAGGTCCCAGCCACCAGGAGGGAAGGGCTGGCTAGACTCGCCCTGGGATGCAGGATCCCATTCTGAGGATGACCCTTTGGGAAAAACCGAGGGGACAGTGCCCTCTTCCTCCTCATCCTCCTCACAGAACTCCATATGAGTAAAGAAACTGAGTGGATGGGACAGGTGACGGGCTCAGACCACCTCCCCCAGTCAGTTCTCACCTGCACCTGACCCCGAGCACAGCCACCCCAGAGCCTGCTCTTGGGAGACCCCGATCTTCTGTCCCCACACATGATAAAAGGCAAGAGCGCCAGGCTGGGGTCCTGAAGCCTGCTCTCCCTGCTGGGGAACCCAGAGGAGGTGCCCCAAGTCCTGAATGACTCAGGGGAGCTGTGTCAATCCAAGGCCCCCTGCAAAACCCAGGACTGGTGTCTGACACACAGGAATGTAAGCGTGAAGTCACCCCACTCACAGAAACAGTGGCCAACTCTGGCAGGCTGGCAGACCCCCCCTGTGTCCGGCTCTACCGAGCAGCTCCCCAGCAGGCTTCCCTCACCCTGGGCAGTGCCAGCTGGGGGCCTGGGGCCACCACTGAACAGAGGAGCCCCATGGGCTCCCTTCCTCCTCCTGAGACACCAGGTTGTGATGCGGGAGACCTGACAAACTTGTTCTGCGGGAGCAGGTGAGAGAGGGTGTTCTTTGGAGCCAGCCCCGTGGGGACACAGGTGCTCTGTGTTCCAGCCCTGCAGGAAGCCCGGCAGGAGCCTGGCTCAGCATGGCGGCCTCCGACTTCGCGCAGGAGATGCGCCTGGTGGGCGAGAGGCTGCTGCTCAAGCTGCAGAGGCTGCCGCAGGCCGAGCCGGTGGAGATTGTGGCCTTCTCAGTCATCATCCTGTTCACAGGTCAGCTGGGGCGCGCGTCTCCCTCGGCTCTTCCTGGCACCCAGGAGATGAGACCGGGGGCTGATGGGGTATCCCGGGCAGAGAAGGAAAAGCAGGTGACCCTTGGGGGAAACAAGGATTTCCCGTCCTGTGACATGCTGCTCCAGTGATGGGCTGGGTGGTGCTGGAACTGGAGGCACCCCAGCATCCCAACCCAGCGACGCAGGGCCCAGAGCTCTGGGAGGCGGAGGAGGTACCACGGGCAGGAGATCAGGGCTCTGGTGGCCAGCATGGGGCTGGTCAACACCTCCCGTCAGATCCTCGGGTACTTCTTTCTGACCAGTGAGCCAGGCCTTCGGGCAAAGGCCCTCCACACCTCCAATAGGGCTTCTTCGGAAGGAGATGGGCGTTCTTTCTCTTCCCACCTCGTAGCTTCTGTGCCCTCTGCCTCCCCCCCACTCCTCCAGCCACGGTGCTGCTGCTGCTGCTGGTAGCCTGTAGCTGCTGCTGCACTCGCTGCTGCTGCCCGGAGCCGAGAGGCAGGAAGGTCCAGGTGCGGCCCATGACCCCGCCGTGAGGGATGGAGAGCTGACCACGACGCTGGAAAGGACACTGCAGAGCCATGGCCCAAGTGTGGGCCTGGTCCTGCAGCCCTGACACTTCCAGACCAAGATCCCCTGTCAGCTCTGGTCCTGCCAGGACTTGGACATGACATGTGGAGGCTTATCAAGGGCACAAGAGCTGCACGGTCACAGGAGCGCTACCTGCCCGTGAGCACAGTGCTGAGGAGGAGCCCACCATTTCAAGGATGGAGTCAATCACCGGTCTTGGCCTACCTGCACTTTTTAACAAAACACGGAAGCGGGGTCCCCAAACCTCGATGGAGAACAACCTGCACCTGTGGGGAGCTGGCCTTGGGGTTCTGCTGACCCACGCCAAAGAGGAGCAGCCCACTCACAGGGATTTTGTGCAATAGCTACTGGACCCCACGCTCCCCACCAGAGAGGGGGCATGTCAATATTCTAGTACAGTTTTTGCCTGTTTCTTTCCCAGTAAAAGCTTTTTTGTTATGTGTCTCTGTGGTGCCAGACTTGTTGGGCTGGGTTCTGTGCACCAGCAGGGCCACGTGCCAGGGGCGTGACCAGCGCTGCCCCTTGCCCGTGAAAGCTGAAAAACACACCAGCAGGAATGCCACGGAACCAGTGGAGGGTGCAGTGACGTTCCTGCCAAGCACTAGCTGCCGACAACTCTGGCTGCGACGCCCACTCTGCAGTGATGGATGCGTGTGTGCCCCAGGCAGGTGCTGGCCCAGAATCGCCACTTAACCATTTCCACCGCCTTGACCTCAGCCTGCACCCCTCGCTCTGGCAGGCTCAGGCCGCTGGGTCTTCCCAGATGTCTGGAGTGAGAGAGGAGAGGTCAGGCCCCCAGCACTGTCCATAACCTGCACCCAGACGCCTTCACCTTTTCCCCATTCGTGTGCCAGACTTTCTGGGTTCAAATCCTTGCCCCCACCACTTGCTAGATGTGGGGACAGGTTAGTGATGCGACCTTCCCGAGCCACGCTTTCTCCCTGTGAAACGGGGCTCATCCTGACAACTGCCTCCTGGGGTAAGCTTGTGAGGATAAACCAAGGTGACCTATGTCGAGTACTTGGCACAGTGTGGGGCACGTACCGAGAACTCTGCATATATGCTTCGCTCTGAACATGGGACTGACCCAGAGCAATGTGGACCCATTTCCAGGGCTGGTCCTGCTGAAACGCAACACTGCTCTGCTTCCCACTTCAGTCTGCTTTCTCTTCCAGGGAACTTCCTAGGTAGGGGCACAAACCCAGTAGCGGAGGCAGAGGCTCCCAGGGGACCTCTCTCTCCTTCCCCATTGGGCCTCAGAGCCATAAAGAGGTCCATATTTTTTACATGCCTCTGTCATCTTGGCCTGGGCAGCCCATGCTCTGGCGGCCTGGGGGCAGAATCCTGTCTACCCAGAAATGGGAGGGGGAGGGGATGCCAGCTCCTGCCACCACCCGCTCCAGCTGGCATCAAGCAGGAGCAGCTCTCTGGCTGGTTTCACTTCCTGGTGAAGGGACCTGTCGGGTTGGTTTCAGTTGAAGGCCCAGAGAGGAAGTGCTTCCATACAAAACAAAAGAAACTCAAGAATCTGCCTGTACCCACCACCAAAGAATGGTATTCAGAATAATGATGATAATGATGATGGTGATGATATAAAGTAGCTAAAATCCACTGAGGGCTTATATATACTCAGGCATTATCTTAAGATTTTTTTTTTTTTTTAATCCTCAGCCGAGGACATTTTTGCATTTATCTTCAGATAGAGTGGGAGGGAGAGAGGGAGGAAGAGAGAGACAGAAACATTGATGTGAGAGAGACACATCAACTAGTTGCCACACACATGACCCCAACCAGGGCTGGGGACAAACTGCAACTGAGGTATGTGCCCTTAGCAGGACCTGAACCCGGGACTCTCTGGTCTACAGGCCGAAGCTCCAACTGCTAAGCCAAACCGGCCAGGGCTATCTTAGGAATTTTGATGCAGACAAATTCATTTAACCATCACAATGTCAATGCTGTCGAGAACATTAGTATCCCCATGTTAAAGATGAGGAAATTGAGTCTTCGCGCCACTGGACAACCTGTCTAAGTTCAGCCGGCTGAGAAGTGGGTCCAGCCTCCGGACCCAGCCCCGCGGGCTGCAGAGCCCCCGCCCGCCACAGCCAGGCCCCGGCCTCCCAGGTGCAGTTCGGGTAAGACTCTGATTCCATTACCCTCCACCAGCCAACACTTACACCCTGAACTGCTTCAAAATAACCTCTCTGAGCTGGGGGCTCAGCCAGGTCTCCCTCCCTCCAGGAAGGAACACACAGGAAGGTGGGAGGGATGGGATGGGAAGCCCTGCCCTTTTCAGTCCCTGTGCCACCAGCAGGAGGGTTTCCAGGAAGCTCTGAGCTCAAGAGCTGCTCCAAAATCGCAGCAGCCCAATCCCCATGTGACTTTTCCTTAAGCAAGTTTTTTTTTATCCTCACCCGAGGACATTTTTTCGTTTTTTGTTCAGATAGAGTGGGAGGGGGAGAGAGAGAGAGAGAGAGGAAGAAACATCGACGTGAAAGGGACACATCGAGTGGTTGCCACCCACACGACCCAACCAGGGCTGGGGACAAACTGCAACTGCCCTTAGCGGGAACTGAACCCAGGTCTCTGGACTGCAGGCCGACGCTCCAACTGCTGAGCCAAACCGACCAGGGCCTTAAGCAAGTTTTCATCAGCATCAACAATGTCCCTTCCTCAGGGTGGCTCAGCCTGAATCTCTTTGCTAGAAAAGACTCTAGCTTCCTGGTTTACCTGCCAAGAGGTGGAGGCCACACACACAGCCCTGGGTACTGACAGGCTGGCTCGCTGGGTCATCTGCATTTTTCTCTTCCAGGCCAGACAGTAACTGCGCGTCCAAATAAGACTGTCCTTGCCCTCAGAGGGCTAGCTCTTCCCCGATCCCTGGCAAACTGGCCCACTCTAGGCCCCACCAGCAATTGGGCCAGTCCCGGGCAGGCTTCAATGCCACTCAGCTCAACAGAGCAGGTCTGCTCCGGCGTGACAGCAGCCTGGACACACCAGGCACGGGCAGCTCCCAGCATGGGTCTTCTCTGGGGCAGATGGGAATGCAGAGGAGGCAGAAATACCCCCGTTGTGGGAAAGAATAAACAGAAAGGCACAGCACCATGGGTGGTGGCCATGAAAGGGGTGGCCTTCAGGTTGTCTTGAGCTCAGAGACGTCTGGCTGACTCCAGACCCAACAGCTCTCCATTCCCGCCGCCACATCACCCTGGACCAGGCCACCACCGTCCGCCTCGGTCACCACAGCGGTCACCACAGACTCCACGCTCATCTCACTGGTCTTTCGTGGCTCCCCAACTGTGGCCTCTGCGGTCTCTCGGTTCCTCAAAAGGGCTTCACTCTGCACTTAAGATCTGTGCATGTTACTGTCTGTACAACATGCCTCCTCGGACACCACAGCAAGGCCACCAATGCAAGAACTTCATGAGCAAAACATGGTGGAGAATATATGAGCCGGTTTTCTCCTCAATCTGTTTTCTCAAATATTAACATTTGAAAGCAATCTATGGTAAAATCTTCACAGTGACTGACCTCTTTGCTTGTGGGTAATACCAATTCCAGACCCTACAAAACTGAGAACAAATTAATTCTGTCCTTGAAAACGGTTCTCTCACTTCCCTTGGGACCTGCTGCCTGCCACAGAACCCTGACTCCCGATTCTAACTCTCACAGTCTCCGCACGTCAGCGACAACATCACTCCTTCCAGGGGAGTGCCCTCAGCCCTGGCCAGGCTCCGCCACAGGCCCCAACAACATTCTCTCCCCCGCACCGCCCTTTCTCTTCACGGTGATCACTCCAGCGGAATTTTCTGATCGGGGCCAGCAATGAACTGAACAGGGTGATGAAGGCATGTGGGTGTGTGACACTCTCCACATATCTCGTTTTCTGAAACACCCGCGTGCACGTTCCTGGCCGAGCTTTCCGACTAGGGCCAGGGTCTTTTCTCCAGTGCGGGTCTGCTGACCCGAGTTCCTGTACTGTCTCATTCTGGTTTCTGTAAAGCGGAGCAAGAACTTCAAGACATCTGCCAAGAAATGAGTGTGAGACCCTTCTGAATTTTTACAAAATGTTTACAGTTGCCCTGCCCAGTTTGGCTCAGCGGTTAGGGCACAGGCCCAAGGACCAAAGATTCACGGGTTCAATTCCGGTCAAGGGCACGCACCTCAGTTGCAGTTCATCCCCAGCTCTGGTCGGGGTCGTGTGGGAGGCAGCCAGTCGATGTGTCTCTCTCACATCGATGTTTCTCTCTTTTTTTCTCCCTCTCTCTCTCTCCCCCTCCCACTCTATCTGAAAATAAACAGAAAAATATCCTTGGATGAGGATTAAAAAAAAAATTTTTACAGTTGTCCACATCAAGATAATATTTTGACAGAAATATTACCCAAGTGATTCCAGAGTCATTCCAAAGTGGTCAAAGAGGTCAAAGAGGTCTAAGAGAAATGACAACTCCCCACTCCCTCTGAGGTCCGGCTCACACTCTGGAGCCAAGTTCAACAGCTGGGTTCAAACCCACTGCAGTCACTTCTTAGCGAGACAACCACGCTTGCTCCTCAGTTGTAAAACTGGGGTTTCAGCTATTCCTGTCGCGTCATTTATTTATGCAATGTTAAGTGCAACTGTGTAATTACAATGACGATGGCCACAAACAGGTTTGGGGACAAACAGCTGACTCCTGATAAGCATCCAACGTAACTGATGGGGTGGAAGTACAAGGTGTACTAGAAACCAGCCCACTGGCTGGACGTGCTCGGAGGCCAGGAGCATTAGTCAGGTCAGCTAGGGTCAATTAGCCCATGACTGCTCGTCACCTGTCTCCTCGCACCTGGCTGCACGCTGGACCCACCTGGTGAGCGCTACAAAGCATGGGCCCTGACACGCCCAGAGTGATACAGGTGATACGAGGTGGGGCTGGGGCATGGGCATCTATTTATTTATTTATTTATTTATTTAAAATCCTCACCCGTCCTGGCTGGTTTGGCTCAGCAGTTAGAGCGTCGGCGTGCGGACCAATGAGTCATGGGTTCGATTCTGGTGAAGAGCACGTACCTCGGCTGCAGTTCAGTCCCCTACGGGAGCAGCCAGTCCATGTGTCTCTCTCACATCAGTGTTTCTCTTTCTCTCCCTCCCTCCCACTGTATCTGAAGATAAACAGAAAGATATCCTCAGGTGAGGACATTCCTCCATTTATCCTCAGATACAGTGGGAGGGAGGGAAGGGAGAGAGAGACATCTACATGAGGGAAACACATCTACAGGTTGCCTCCCGTATGACCCGGACCAGGGCCAGGAACTGAAATGCGACCGAGGTATGTGCCCTTGACCAGAATCGATCCCGCGACTCCTTGGTCCTCAGGCCAATGCTCTAACTGCTGAGCCAAACTGGCCAGGGCTGGGGCACAGGCATTTAGAAAAGCTCCTAGATGATTCTACAAGCAGGCTGAGGACCAGCGCACTAGATGCGAGTTCTGGGAGGGCAAGGCTGCCCTGGAGGCCCACACTGGACAGCAGTGCCTGGCCAGGACGAGCACTTGAGTCCTGTCTCCTAAACGAGTGAGGGGTGGCCACCAGGTTTCAGGGGCCAGGGCACTGGCTCCATTCCCACTTCCTAGCTGCCCTGTCACACCAGCGCGTAGGCACCAGCCACAGGAAGCAGCGGAGGCCCTGCCTGAGAGGCAGACAAAGGCCCAGGGAGAAGTCAGGCCCCACAGGCCCCACAGCCTCGGTGCCGACAGGCACTTCCGCCTAGAAAGGAGTTCCAGGAGGTGCCAGCAGGAGGTGCAGTTAATCATTCTCCCCAGCCACGGGAGGGAGCAGCCTGAGTGGCAGCTCAGCCCCAGGGCTTCGAAGGTCCTTTCAGTCAACAAGGTCATCCAGAGGCCGGACGGGCCTCATCTGAGGTAGACAGGCCTGGGGCAAGGCCCTGGCTGCAGTTCTTCCCTACCCACTCCAAGTCTGACTTCTCTTAGTGAGGACACCGCACACCTGCCCTGAGCAGCCCCCTCAATGACATCATCCAAGGACAGAATGCAGCTGAGGGGTAAGTGTGAGAGGCACAAAGGGACCAGGGGTTGCTAGGCAACGGGCCCTGGCCCACCTTTGTTAGCTCTGCTGACAGCAATGAGGTTTGGTAGGGCCACTTGGCACTGAGAACACCTTTCCTCCCAACAGCTGCCTCTTTGAGTCAGTGCAACTCTGGTCACCTCTTCAGCTCAGCCCCAGGGTGTGGGCCCTGAAGGATTACCCTGATCCGCCCTCTCTTAGGACACGGGAGTGTTAACCGCAGAATCAGGTAATGCCTCCTTCCTTCTCTGCCTGGACCCCCTTCAACTGGCCGCAGGCTCGCAGCCCGCTGATAGCTGCGCTTCGAGATCAGTCAGTCCTGTTTTCTGCTGCCTCTGAGGAAGTTTACGGAGGTCTCAGCTCGAGTTAGTCCACTCCTCCACAACTCTGCTGACCTCTCAAAATGCTTCCCAGTGTTTGGCAACTGAGGCAGGAAAAGGAGGATCTGGAGCGAAGCTTTAGCTGAGAGAGGAAGCTCTTCCTCATACCAGGGTTGCTGTGGAAAGGTCTGAGAACCAGGGTGGCCTCCAGGAAGCCCTGAAGGCCCCCTGGTGCCAGGGAAGTTCATCAGTGCTGGCTGGAGGCATCGAACCCAAAGACTCCCCTCAATGCAGTGTCTCCCAGCTGCAGAGGTGGGCCAGCGGTTCTGAGACTGCCAGAGGGCCAAGGTGGGGGCAGGGTGGGTGTGGAGAGCAGCACCCGGGCAGGGCCTTGGCGAGGCGCCTGCACCAGCCTCTGTCCCTCTCCCAGGTTCACATGGACACGCTAACGAAGCAGAGGCGTGTCTGGAAAGAGGAGTTCTGGCAGAACCCCTGGGACCAGGGGGGCCTGGCAGTGGTCAGCATATTCATCGTCATGGTCCTGATGCTCATGATGTTCGCGACTGTGTTTGGGGCACTCCTTCCACTCGAGAAGGTCGACCAGCTTGACGAGTCATGACCTGACTCTCTGGGGGCCTGGGGGGCTACCTGTTATATACTCTCCAAACACCATGGACCTTTTCCTCAAAGCCCTTATACAGCCTAAAATTATACATTTTTATGTGATTCTCTGATAAGTGCCTGTCTTCCTCACTGGGCTAGCCCCATTAAAGCAGGGATGGGTCCCTCAGCATTCGCCGCTGTGTCCCCCACGGCCAGTGGGGCCTGGCAGGGTCAGTATCAGCCAATATTTGTGTGTTGAATGAACACATGAATGACTGGACAGATAAGCAAACAATGGATAGACAGAAGGATCTGGGCTGCGGGCTCCTCCAGTGGATGACAGAGCCCAGTTCAATCTAGGCCCAAACACAGAGCTGCTTCCATCTCAGGCAGGTGGCCGAGGCCTGGAGGCTGGAGGTTGCTTCAAACCGAATTACTGTTCCCTCTGACACCAAAAAGGTCAAGAGCCCTGTCGTGAATCACCAAATGCTCCTGTGGCCGGAGCTCAGAGGGGCCGCTGCACTCAGACAGGACAGGAAACCTGCTGGTGTCCCACCCTGGCCTCGTTCATCTGACCCCAGCGCCTTTCTGTGGGTCCAGAGATGCCCAGGCAGCCCTCACAGGGTTCCACAACCCTGTGCACCCAGACTCTACAATGCTGCCTTTGCAGAAATGCACCCACCTCTGCCAAAGCCGCACACTGGCCTGTCCCTTGCTGCCAGGTGCCCTCGCTTAGTGAATGGCTGCTTCAGCTTCAACCTCACACCCGACTATTCCTAGAAAAGGGGCAACTATCTGGAGGGGAGGGCCTTTTTTAGTGTGCTATAAAACATTTATGCATTAAAGAAATATTCTCTTTTACTCAAGTGCAGTCTCAAATCCAATCATACCCACAGTGTTGATTCCATCCGGGGCCTGGAAGTCCTGGAATCTGAGCCCCTCGCATGTAACATGAGAGCTGAGACTGCGCACAGGGCAGCAGGAGCCCCGCGGATGCCCAGACTGCTCGACACTGAGGCTCTGGCTCCCTGGTATTTCTCCCAGGGGAAATTGGGTAGAGGCTCCTAGGAAGACCTAACCTCTTGAGATATGGCAGAGCTAACCCTCTGGACAGCCCTACAGAGCCTCAGACTCATTCCAGACAAGATCCCAGCCAGGGTTACTTCCAGCAGAGGGGACACTGACAACCAGCAAGGACACTCGGCCCTTTCATTATGGGTGCTTTGCTCATGGAACCTAAGGAGGCCTGAGCACCTCCCTGTACTACTGCCTGAAAAGGGCTCTGGTCACAAGGGCTGTGGGAAGGGTCGTCTGGCACTGCAGCCAACCACCTCTACTCGGCACAAAGGAGTGTCCCCAAAACCTGGTCTTGCCACAGAGGCTGAATGAGAGGTGACTGCTTGGAGAAGGGAAGCGTTTCAGTCCGGGAGTCACCCACACATTGGTGACTAGGAGGGCGGGAATCAAAACACAGGCCCAACAGGAGCCTCTGTGGCTTCCAGAGGAAAGCCCCAAACACCTCCAGACACTGGTCATCAGCTCTGCTTCAAGAATCCAGTCGTGCAAAACCCAAGACGGCACGTGTGTATGAAAATGTGCGCCGACGGTCGGCAGACCTGGATTGGAGGCATCTGTCTACTCTAAGCTTTGTGACCGTGACCTCCCTGGACCTCGGTCTACTCATCTTCAAGTCTGAAGCAGTCACTTCTGTCTCATCCAATGAGATCTGACCGATGAGAACAGAGGAATCACAGAGCTTTTTGGAGCAAAGGGCTACACAAGTACAAAGTGTTCCCAGCTCGCTCAGGTCCTCCTGGGCGTCCCTCACACGGGCATCACAGCTGCTGTGCTCAGAACCCACTCTGCCACAACCTGTCCGGCACTGCAGCTACTAGGCTGCTCACGGCCCCACCACCAGCAGATGCAAATAAAACAGATAAGCGAGTTCCAAGTGGGCACCTGGTGTTACGTGGGAAATGGTGACTTTTCTCCAGGCACATGACACACCCCCGCCAAGAGAAGCTGGGTCACCTGCCTACTCCAGTGAAGCCAGTGGTCCAGCTCAGTGGCATGTGATGACTGCAATGCCCACAGCTCAGAACTGGTCACATGGTCCAGGACCGAGTCACTCATGGGGCCATCCATCCTGGAAGGAAGTCAAGTAGGGTGGATGGATGACTGCCCAGAATATTCAACAAGTCCTCAAATCACCAGAGTTTCTAAGGCCTTCCACAAAAGAGTGAAAGGGTACCGATTTCCACACTGCCAGGCAGAAGACACCCCATGCAATGGCCTTCAGCAGGCTGAGGTCCCCTGGTGGCCCGAGAGTTGCTGCACATCAGCTGGGTAACACATAAATGCTAGAGGAGAAAAAGATCTCATAACACTTTGCTCCAGAAACACACAAATAAGTCACTCACCCCAGTTCTTCACAGAAGGTCACCAAGGCATCAAAGGCCAGGATAGCAGCTTTATCAGATGCTTTGGTCCCTCTCTTTTCCTGGAGATAAGAAATGACCATTTGTGGGGTGATCACCCGAGGGAAAAGGGGGTGGGGGAGGTAGAAGAGGGTATAGTGGGGATAAATGGTGATGGAAGGAGACTTGACTTGGGGTGGTGAACACACAATATAACATACAGATGATTTATTATAGAACTGTGCACCTGAAACCTATGTAATTTTATCAACTGATGTCACCCCAATAAATCCAATTTAAAAGTAAAAAAGGAAACAACCACTTAGCAAATGTCTTCCATAGTGGGACTACCTTGTAGCCCAAAAAATGATAAAGGAAAAAAATATCAAACAGCAGGAAGAAAGCCGCTTACAAAACAGTGTCCCCAACCTGACCATGCATAAGAATCACCTGGGTAATTAAAGAGTTACCACCCTGGCTGGTTTGACTCAGCGGTTAAAGCATCAGCCTGCGGTCCAGAGAGACCTGGGTTCGGTTCCCGCTAAGGGCACATCCCTCGGTTGCAGTTTGTCCCCAGCCGTGGTTGGGTTGTGCGGGTGGCAGCCACTTGATATGTCCCTTTCACGTCGATATTTCTCTCTCTCTCTCTTCCTCTTTCTCTCTCTTTATCTGAACAACAACAACAACAAAAAATTAAAGAGTTACCATCCCCAGACCATTGAAAAGAACTTTCTGGAACTGGAGCTTTTGAGAGTTGATATTTTCAAAAGCTGCTGACATGATTCTCATGCAGAGGGCCCATGAACTGGCATCTGGGAACCATTGTACATAATGTGACCTAATTTAATAAATACAGGCATGAGGGTGTGTACTCAGGCATAATGGAACATGTTATGTCTGGAAAAACACACTATATACAAAAACGCTGATTATTTCTGAGTATTGGGATTGTGTGCTGCCTTTTTATTTATGTATTTAATTATTTTTTTTTATCCTCACCCGAGGACATTTTTCCATTTTTTGTTCAGATAGAGTGGGAGGGAGAGAGATGAAGAGAGAAAGAGAGAAAGAGAGAGAGAGAGAGAGAGAGAGAGAGAGGAAGAGAGACATCGACGTGAAAGGGACACATCGAGTGGCTGCCTCCCACACAGCCCTGACCCAATGGGGCTGGGAACAAACTGCAACCAAAGAAGTGCCCTTAGCGGGAACTAAACCCGGGTCTCTCTGGACCGCAGGACAATGCTCTAACCGCTGAGCCAAACCAGCCAGGGCGTGTGTTCCTTTTTATACTACACGTCTATTTGTCAAACATTCTTCTAAAAAACTGAGAAATTCTAAAAATACAGAAAAGTAAAGAAGACATAGCAGACACTGATATCTGAAACATTGCTGACTTTCTGCTTCTGGCAGGTGAATCATCGTCACTCCCAAATGCACGCAGATACACATCCTTCCTCTACCCCCAGGCTCCTATGTTTATACCACAATTTCTTGTTAAATCATCGTTTCCCTCACTGTCACTATGTCAACATTGTTCAGAGCTAAGCCACGGGATTACATTTCCCGCGATCACATATCCTTTCCTCTACAACCTTGCTTCCCCTGCAATTAACAGCTCCCTTGTTTTTTCCACTTACTTAAACGTCAGTGTATCACTAATTCACCCCCAAATGTTCTGGCATCATTAAAAAAATCACTTCAATAGGAGCCAGAGATGGCAGGTTCCACTTTTATCTTTGGAAACTTCCTTCCTGGAGCCTGTCCCCCTGGTTCGAGCTGGACCACTATCTCGAGACCTGGTGCACAGCTGTCTTTCCCTGACCACCCTTCCATGAGCTCCTGGGTCAGGTCTCCATCTTCCTCCTGCTCAGTTCACTGCCTCTACGGTGGAGTAATTCTTTAGGAGCTTCTCCACCTGAGGCAGTTTTTTGAAATCTTGTATCTGAAAATGTCTTTATCCTACATTCACACTTTGCTGTTTGGCTGGGTAGAAAGTTCTAAATTGGAAGTGGTTTACTTAGAATTTGAAGGCACTTGTTTCATTGTTGTCTCTGGTATTTCAATGAAGAAAACTGATGCTCTTCCGGCTCCCAGTCCTTCATATGTCCTCTCTCTGGAAGCTTTCAGGTTTTCTCTTTGTCAAATGATCTCAAATGTCTCAATGATGAACCCCGTAGGAGTTCTTATAATTCATTGTGTTAGTGAGTTTTAAATACCTTATACTCAGTCACCAAAATCTTTTCCTTGTCTAAATTTCACATAAAAGAGACAAGCTAACCACACCCCCCTTAGTTCATGGAAAACAACTGTTTTTGATCCACACAAGGCTCCTTCATTCCCAATCCCTACCTTCTCTCCACGTTCATTCATTCATTCAGTCAACATTAAGCACTTAAGTGTGTTTCGAGCACTGATCTAGGGATTACAGATACACAGGGAATAAAACGTTCCTGCTCTCATGGAACTTACATTTCTTTTTTTAATTGAATTTTGAGATAGAGAGGAAGGGAGAGAGAGAGAGAAACATTGATGTGAGAAAGACACATCGATTGGCTGCCTCCTGCAAGACCCCCACTGAGGATCAAGCCCGCAACCCGGGCATGTGCCCTGACCGGGAATCGAACCAGGACCTCTCAGTCCATGGGACAACGCTCAATCCATTGAGCCACACCAGCTGGGTGGAATGTACATTTCAATAGAGCAAAAAGAGAATAGCAAACCTATAAAGTCAAGCAGTAATAAATACAATAAAAAAGAAAGAAGACAAGAGTCTTTCTGGGCCCTCAGCTATGCCTATTACCCTGCAGTGAGTACATACTTATAATTTTTTCACCTCTCATTGCTGGATATTTAGTTTCCCATTTTCTGTCCTCATGAACAATTCTACCAAGCAGGCCCTTGAGCACATGAGCTTATACACTGGCTCTTTTATTTCATGGGACTGGGTCCCAGAAATAGGATATCTGGGATCCAGACATCTGCTCTTACATCAGTTTTTCTCTTTCTCTTCCCCTCTCCTTTTCTCTATAAAAATCAATTTAAGCCCTGGCTGGTTTGGCTCAGCGGTTAGAGTGTCGGCCTGCAGACTAGAGGGTCCCGGGTTCCGCTAAGGGCATGTACCTTGGTTGCAGTTTGTCCCCAGCACCAGTTGGAGTAGTGTGGGTGGCAACCAGTTGATGTGTCTCTCTCACATTGATGTTTCTCTCTCTCTCTTCCCCCCTCTCTCCCTCCTGCTCTGTCTGAAGATAAATGCAAAAATGTCCTTGGGTAAGGATAAAAAATAATTAAAAAAAAAAAACAATTTAAAAATCTTAAAAGCCCAACTGGTATGGCTTATGCACCAAGAGGTCGCCGGTTCAATTCCCAGTCGGCACGTGTCTAGGTTGTGGGCCTGATCCCCAGTGGGGAGCATGCAGGAGGCAGCCAATCAATGTTCTCTCTCATTGATGTTTCTCTCTCTCCCCCTCTCCCTTTCTCTCTCTCTAAAATCAATAAAGAATAACTATTTAAAAATCTTGAAAAAAGGAGAGAGTCTAACCTAGCTTGATGCAGTGCCCACCCATCAGCATACAATTCCCCATCCAGCCCCAGGAGCATCCCTCTAGCTTGCAGAATCTCCATCTGCATGAAACCGGAGAGCAGTAAGTTCAGACAGAAAGGGCCACTACTGCCCAGGACTTACCTGGAGTTTTGCTACTTCCTTCCTGATCAGGAAGCTGACTTGGTCTCGGTCGTTCCTGGAGTAATAGAGACGGCACCAGGAAGGCTTCCCATCCCTGCCCGCCCGGCCAGACTCTTGGTAGTACCCAGCCATAGATTTGGCAATATTCCAGTGGGCGACAAACCTGTAGGGTTCAAAGGGGCAAGCAGCATAAGATGTGGCAGAGACCTGAGGGGAGGAGTGATTCTGGGTGGGTGGAGCAGGGCTCTCGGCAGTGACCAGGGGTGGGTGGGCCAGCAGGCAGAGGCAGAGAGAGGATCCCAGGGTGAAGTATGGCCAAGATACCTGCAGTCTGTCAGCAGGCCTCCCTGCCATGGAGCAGCCCAGTTCAGAGGCCATAGCAGTAAAGAGCAATTCCAACACATGAGAAACAACAACAAAAAACTCAATCAGAGGTCCAGTGGGAAAAAATGCTTGACTTAAATAAGATTAGGCCACTTATGAACTACACAACCTTGAAAAAGTACTTCATAATCTCTTTGGAGAGAAAAGGACTATTTATTAAGTACCTACTATAAGGCAGTGTGTATATCGGTTTCATTGAATTGCTGGTCACCATCATGTGAGGTAGCCCCATTTTGGAGACAATGAACTTGAGATTCAGAGGGTAAACTACACAAGGTGACACAATGGGATCAGCAGAGCTAGGATTTGAGCCTAGGGGTATCTAACTTCAAAGTTGGCCCCTAATAAGGCACAGCCAACCCAGCATCCAACTCTGATTCCAAAGTCCATGTTCGGAAGGAGACTTGACTTTGGGTGGTGAACACAATACAATAGATGATGTATTATAAAACTGTACACCTGAAATCTATATAATCTTATTAACCGACATCATCCCAATAAATTCAATAAAAATTTAAAAAATAAAAATAAACAAAGTTTGTATTCTCTCAAATGTGGTACACAGACTAATTCCTACCCTGCCCAAATCAGGGCCACTGTGCATTTTAACAAGACCATGTATGTAAAAATGCTCCATAAATCATACAAGGCATTATTGTTGGTATTAATTAAAACAAAGGGCTTCAGGATGTAGCCCAAAATGTCTCCGGAAGGTCAGGTGTGGCTAGAGGTAAAAAATTTCCAACAGCTAGCTGCCAGCAGGGGCCTAGGAAGCTGGGATGCCCCGTCTCCTCTAGCCTCTCAGTCAGCAGTAACAAGGAATGATGGGAACAAGCTCTTTGCCTCTGACTATTCCCAGAGGGAGCAGGTTAAGATAGCTCATCCATTCCAACCCTCACAGGGTCCATCTGCTAAGACGTGAGTCAACAGGGCTGTGTTAATGAATGAGCCTAACGATCTGTGTGCTGCCCTATCTCCTGCGGGACAGAACCATGTTGTGCAGTCACCGGGAGCAGGCTGCATGATGGCCACGTACTAGGGACCTCACCCTGGGGCCTCCTTCCCTGCTGGCCCCAGAAGGAGCACAGGGACCTGGTCCTCCTGGCAGCCCACCCCAAGCCAGGCCCTGATCAGGAAGGTAAGACAAGAATCAGAGCTCACCTGACATTGGCTTTGTCCACTCCCATCCCAAAACTAATGGTTGCAACAATTACAGGGATCTTCTCCTCCATCCACTCGTTCTGCACCAGTGTTCTTTCAGAAGCCTTCAGCCCTATAAAGCAGGGAAAGGTGGAGAAGGGAACTTGCATTTCCCCTGGGTTTCCCTTGGGCTCTATTTTGGGTTTGACACTATGTTGGGTGCTGTACACATACCCTGAATCCATTACTTAACAACTATGTGACTGTGGGCCAGGCACTTAACCTCTCTGAGCCTGAGATAATAAATATAAAGACCCTAGCCAGTGTGTGACATAAAGCACTCAGTGAATGTTAGAGCCAAGGATCAAACCCAAGTCTGTTGGCCTCCAAAACCTGTGCTCTTTCTACAACAACACCTGGGCTTATGAAAACTCATCACCTGCTGCTGGTGGGCACAGGGCGAGAAAAAGAAATCAGGAGTCACAGTCTCATTTTAGACCTCATCCTTGTCTAGACTCCTTTTTGTGGATTTAAGTGAATCACTTTAGCTCTGCGTGGGTATCTAGAAAAGATGTCAGACCACCTGATTTTCCAGGATCCACAGGAACAAGAGACTCACTAAGAAGCCTCTGAGAGTGAAGAGGACCAGGTGGCCTGGGCAGCCCTTACCTGCGTGGTAGGCCTTGGCATTCAACCCCCTGTAGCTGAGCTCTATCGCCAGCTGTTCACAAGCCTCTCTGGTCCTGCAGTAGACAATGCCGCAGCCGGACAACTGAATGGGAAGACAGGAACAACAGGAAGAAAATAAGTACTGGGAAAACAGTCAGCCCGTCATACTAGGCCTGCTTTAAAAGAAGTTCTGCACTCTGTCTGTCTCTCATCAGCCTCCCAGTCTCTTCTAAGGCAGGCCACCCGCAGGACTCTGCCATTTTCCAACAAAGAAGCACCAAACCAGCTCAAAACCCAACCAATCTACCTCCTCTGCCTCCTCCCCTCAAACCTCAACTAGGTCTGCAAAGGCCACAGTCGGGCCGGCTGCTTGCCTCCCACAGGATTCCAGGACAAAGAAACACCAGTAAGGGGAACAACGCCAGGAAGCCGTGCTTTAAGCCGCTACAGCTAGTCCTAGCTAAGGAAGCTAGAAAAAGCAAAGGTTTTAGAAAACCAATACCTATCTCTGTGTTATAGACAGCACCCCACTGCTCCACAGGCATTTTGGCCTCCCCAAGTGCCCTTACCCCTTTATCACTCTTCTGTCCAAGAGCCTTAAGGCAGAAGTCTCTCAGGTTCTTGTAGGGATCAGAAAGCAATTCCTTGAACTGAACGTCATAATAGAGGTTGGCCCGGAAGCAAGGAGTCTTGAAGGCAGCAACCGGCTGCTTCAGGTGCAGAGCAGCAAACACATCCTCTTGGACCTGCGGGGTGGCTGTGGCGGTTAGAGCCACACACGGGGCATGTGCCAGGCGGGAGCGCAGGGCACCCAGACGCAAGTAGTCAGGACGGAAGTCGTGTCCCCACTGGGACACACAATGAGCTTCATCCACTACCAGGTAGGAGAGCAGGTGGCGGGACACCAGGGAGTTCAGGGTGGGCTGGAAGGAGGATGAGGCTGCCATCTCTGGTGTGATGTACAGGAGTTTGGTCCGGGGCTTCTCTTGCTCCAGGTCAGAGAGCACCTCCTTCTTCTCCTGGGCCGAGAGCTTCGAGTTCAGGGAACGCACATGTACCTTCAGGGCCAGCAAATGGTCTACTTGGTCCTGAGGGCAGAAGGGGGGGAAAAGCACAGAGAGGAGTATAATTGGCTCTCGGGATCTCAGAAAGTCATTGTGATGCCCTGGGGTATTTCCCAGTCATAAAACATCCTTCCCCCACCCTCCATTGTCTTCTCTTTGCATACAAGAAGGACTAAAGGGGAAGTGATTGAGAGGACAAGCTATGGAGCCAGACAGACCTAGATTTAATCCTGGCTCACTTAATACCACATGCTTTTGGGCTGGTTCTTAACCTTAACTTGTCAATCTTCTCACTCTCTTTCTCTCTCTCTACTATAAAAATAGTGACTACCTAGCAGGATTGTTTTAAGAATTAAATTCTGCAAGGTGAAATGAGCCCTGGCCAGTTTGGCTCAGCGGTTAGAGCGTCGACCTGCGGTCGGAGAGACCCGGGTTCGGTTCCCGCTAAGGGCACGTACTTCGGTTGCAGTTTGTCCCTGGCCCTGGTTGGTCATGCGGGTGTCAGCCACTCGATGTGTCCCTTCACGTCGATGTTTCTCTCTCTCTCTCCCTTCCTCTTTCTCCCTCCCACTCTATCTGTACAAAAAAGAGAAAAATATCCTCGGGTGAGGATAAAAAAAAAAAAAAGGTGAAATGAATGCACATAAAGCACTCGCTCCAAGTCCAGACCTAGCGATCACTCACTAGACACTATTATTGTTTTCCTGTCTCTCTCTTCATGGTCGATAGCTCTTAACTACATGGCTACACTTCCTCACTTCTGCTTCTGGCAGCCCATCTGCTGGCCTTAAATGTAGTCAGAAGTGCAGAAGCAGATGTTACCAACATCCCAATCAGTCTCTCATTTTTTCTGTCATAGCTGCGCTCTTGCCAGAATAAAGGAGAACACCAGGCCTCCATATCAATTTAGCGCTCTATCCATCTGCATCTTCTTCCGTCTAGAGTGTGCATATGTATACAGACACAGTTCCATAATCGTCTGGACAAAAAGTAACAAAGGAGGGGAAGAGACCACCAGAGTGCTATGCACTAGTGGAGAAGCCCATATATGGGCAATTCAGAAACCCAATACAGAGAGGAAGATAAGCAAATCAAAGAAAATAAGAGGCAAGAGACCAAAGAAAGCAGAAGTGAAATATCCAGCTATAAATAACCTCTCCCTAAACTTTTTGGGCTGCCATCTTCATTCCCCTAAGCCTCACCTGAATCAAAGCAATGAGAGGAGAGATGACGATGGTGATGCCTTTGGCCAATAGAGCAGGGAGCTGATAGCAGAGGGATTTTCCTGCCCCTGTGGGCATGCACACAAAAACATCCTTGTCACCTGCAAAAATACAAGAGAGAATCTCAGTGCTTTCTGTCTTTTATCTCTTCCCTTCATCAAGGCTGTTGAAAATTAAATGAAAATGTAGGAAAAGCCCCTAGCAGAGTGTGTGGCACATGATGGGGATGGGTCTCAATATAATCTTAATTCCCTTCCCATCTTTTCTATGAAAAGGGATACAGGGACATTTGGAAAAGCACACAAACCATTTCTGATAATGCTAATAACAACTACAAGGTTAACTACAAGTCTGAGTCTGCTGGCATGTAGATGATTCAGCCATGAAAGATAACTACTTCTAGATGAGTGGGCATATCTGCGTAGACATGGAAGCACTATCATTTAGATGTCTTTTTTTTAATAAACATAACAGTATAATTAACATTGCAATGCTGCTCCCCTCTTGATAACCTCCATTTGTCAACAAATCTCAGGTTTATAATACTATTAATCCTTCCTTCCCTATATTTGAGATCCAGGCCACCCAGTCTTTAACAAAAGGGATCACCTAGGTCAGTGGCTGTATTAGGCCATTCCTGCCAGTCCCACACAAACTAATGGGAATTGATGAACTGTTTTCAAAGACAATCTAGCTCCGGCTATAAAATGTAAGAAACAGAACAGCTGAGTGGTTCTGCCAATATAACTGCAAGTGTTGAGTGACAAGCCTACAAGATTTCCAAAATCAATTATGGACTAAGGGTAGGGAGGTAGGAAGGGTCAGAAGGGGGGTGTTCTACGGCAGTGCTATGGTATGGCCAGCATAAATGTAAACAGGTAGTTTGGCAATGTTACCTTTCACCAAAGCCATGATCGCACTCTGTTGTAAAGGTGTCTTAAAAGAGTCAAACCCAAAGACCTTCTTCAACGTGCTCCGGACTCGACGTTCAGGGTCATCAAAAGGAGAGGAATGGTGGGTGCTCATCTTAGCGACAGACAGTGGCCAAAGGTTAAGGCAAAGGTGCTGATCATATGGTTGTGGCAAGAACGCTCTGTTCCGCTTTTAAAATACTGCTTATTTTTCTCTCTGAGTAGAAATGTGCTTGATTACACTCAAGCGATATATTATTTTCAAGTAACACAGCAATATACTCCCGGATAATTAACATCTCCACTTTCACGTCGGTGGAAATGAAAACACTGAACTATCCCAGGCCACAGTATATATATAGTACAGAGCTAGAAATCAGATCACGAGAAGAAGCACAAATGTCTTCCGAATAGTTTGGAGAAGGTGGAATTGTTTGTCTAAGAGTCACCTTCTGCTCCTTCTATAAGCATAGCCATGATGACCATTCTTCCCCCCAGGACCCTGATCCCTTCTTCCCAACTCCCTGAGGAGACCTCTTCCCCCTTCCTTCCGAGCCCCCAATCCGCTCTTTTCTTCCTTCCTCAGTCGAATTCTACCTCTCTTCACCCCAAGATATCAGAGCTGGCCGTGGGCCGCCCGGGAGCGAAGGGCTCTTGCTGGGGGCGCGGCGGTGCTGGCTCGGGAACTACTCGAAGATCCCCATCACCACCGCCAACTCTGAGAAGCCCAACAGCTGGACTTTACACTGTCAAGTAAAACCAAGCAACCTCGTATCCGTCGCGCAGTAATGACGTTACGCTAGCGCTGTGCGAGGGGCGGGCCCAGGCGCAGAAACAGCCGCGTGGATTGGTTCCCGGTCTGGAACGGGCGCGGGGCCTCCTGGGATCCGGAAGGAGTCGCCTCTCCGCACGGAAGTCGGCCTTCTGGAGTCATCGGAGTGAGCCACCCGGCGGCTGTGGGAATAAGATGGCGGGGAAGAAGAATGTCCTGTCTTCCCTGGCAGTTTACGCGGAAGATTCAGAGCCCGAATCTGACGGAGAGGCTGGAGTGGAGACGGCAGGCAGCGCGGCTGGTGAGGCCCGAGTAGGGAGGTGGGAGGGGAGAAGCAGGTGTTTGCTCGGAGTGCTCTAAATGCAGGGCGGGAGGGAAAGAGGTGATTATTGCCCCCCAAGTTTCGGGCCCCGGAACCCCGAAGCGCGTTCCGTGTCCTGGACGGACGCTCTGTATTAAAAATGGATTGTCTTCTTCCATTGGTTAATTATTCTGCTGAAATTTACTGAAAATCTCCGTGCCGGGCATCTTGCTGGGCTGAGAGATAAAGGATGGGGAGGCCCCAAGGCTGCTGACACACTACCTGTTCTCTTCGAGCATGTTTGATGGAAGAGAGTGATGGTGGAGAGTGACAAAGGTTTATCTTCTTACATTTATAACTTAACTAGTCCTGTGTTTTAGACACATCTTGAAGCTTTTCTAAAAAATGCATCTGGTCTCTCCTCTGAGTCTAATTCTGTAGATCTGGGGTAGGATCTAGTGGGCTTTCCAAGGCTCCCCAGTGATTCCATTATTTTGTGAGTTGTTACATCTCCTCAGTGATTTTGTTGCCTTACTCAGGTTGAGAATCACAATGTTAGGAAGTAGGAACAGGTTTATTTGGGCGCATAGACAGGCAGTAAGTTACCCAACATATCTGGGCCTTGATTTCCTCATCTGGAAAGTGAGGGGGCTTGGACTAGGTTAGCTACTATGTTTGTGGTCTTTGCCAGTCAGGAGGTTCTCTGTTGTTACCCAGTAATTTGTATTGTCTTGGGGGTTTTGTTGTTTTTCAAGTAGGTGTGATTGGGAACCTCTTGGAGTACCCCCTGTTCAAGGTCCTGTTCATAGGGGAGGACACACAAAAATGAAGATGACAGAGTACTTGTATGAGAAGATGAGTTCACTGGTGCCTCTGATACAAAGTAGATACCAAGAGAGGTGCTCAAACAACAGAATCTGGGGTCTAAGGTTATTTAACATGAGATTTAGGTTCCCTTTTTACCTTAAAATACACTTCTAGCCACTCAAATCACCAAAAGGTTTTCTTCCATTTTTCCCCCCATTTATTCATTTTTATTATTTTTTCCCCTTTGTTTAAGAGGAGAAAGGCGGATTGGTATCTGACGCCTATGGAGAGGATGATTTTTCTCGCCTTGGGGGTGATGAAGATGGTTATGAAGAAGAGGAGGAGGAGAACAGCAAACACTCGGTAAGTAACTGTTCCCATATCCAGAGCTGCTCATAGCAACAATTTATTTGTTAGAAACTTTCTGAACTGTTCCAGCAGCATTTCATTTCATACCTAATTTCACCCCCCTTCCCCACCCTTTGTTTGGTGGCAAGAAAACTGGGTTGGATATTGGCAGTTCTATTTGAAAATCAGATTTGTTTTCACCTGGACCATTTTGTGTTAACCTTTGAATTAAAATTTGGGGGCAAAGATAATGAATTATTTTATTTACCCCAGATATTAGTGGGTGTTTTATGTTGTTGTTATAGTTGTTTTTTTCCTGTTTAGATCATTTACTCCATTTGCAACAATGTATTCATTCTAATTGGTGTATCATTTATACCAGCAATCAGCTCTGTATTATTTTTAATCTTGGTTGGGTCTCATTCAAATCTTTCAGTTTATTTAAAAGATTAGGAAGGGAAATTATTATTGTGCGTGTATGATTTAACTCTTCTTCTTTCTTGACATTTTATTTGGCACTTTTTATCACAGTGCCCTAGGTTCTTGATCACAAATCTTGCCTGAAGTTTAGTATGTGTTGCCTAACAAAAGAGAACTTGTGTCTCATCCAGAAAGACTTTAGCTACATTATCACCTAAACATCATGAGCCAGAATTTAAAAGTTTGGGAAAAAATGAGGATTCGGCTGGTGCTTAGCACAAAGACATACAAAGTTGAATGTGGATATTTAGCAACAGCTTAAATTGAAACATTTGATGTACTTTTATTATTTGTTTGGAAACTTTGTTACATGTTGATATTTAAATGTTACTGTTAAAGTGCTTTCCAGATTAAAGAAAACTGTACTTTGTATTTTATGCTCTTTTGGAAGATATTTTCATGCCCTTTGCCCCACTATTAACGCTAATAATTCAGAATTGACTGAAATTGGTTAGAAAATCTTTGCAAGTTGTGTTCTTATCCTGACTTTTCTTAAGTGCATACATTCTGTCTTAACGTCCATAATTATTTTCTTCAATAAACCTGCAGAGTGTTTAAAGTGTTATTCCATATTTGCCTTTCTTAGGATTTCCATCATATTTAAGCTTTACTTCATATTTTAGTAAAATCCTCTTGTCAAATCCCAATGTAGACCTTCTAAAATGTGATTGTATTTGGCTGAGGTACATCTCTGATATTTGGCCTGATTGGGTTCATTTTAAAGAGATTATGGAGATTGCATTTAAAACCTTTGGGTCATTTAAAGCACCTTACAGGACAGTTAAATCTCAAACCCATCAGCACAGTCTATTCAAGCCTCTCAGGTGGTGTTTATATTAACATCTGGACTGCTATTTAATGCGGGGGTTAAAGTGTAGCTGGATTGAGAAAGACAGTTTCAAGTGAAACTTAATTTTTTCCTGGGTGTTAAGTTAAAGGTTCCCATGCACTGGGGTGTTCTGGGTAGTGGATCACTTGTGAACGTAGCTACTTCGTAGGGGAACTGATCTTTGGCCTTTGTTAGCATTCAGTGGAATGGCGGGCTGGCTCGAGTGAGTCCAGTGCGTGCTTTGGAGAACGCCTCGCCCACGTGGTGCTGTCGAGCAGGCCATTGGATAGGGAAAAGGCTGGACAAAATGGCAAATGGCAGTTCTGGGGAACTTGGATGGAGGAAAGGCTGGGTGTTGCCCTTTAATCGTGCCTTTCCCAGGTCACTTGTTCTGGTCATTTGATACCTACCTTCCTGCTGTTTATGTTGGTGCAAACAAGTGCTACTGGGTGGAAGTACTGGGGTACAGTTGTGTGTGGGTCACGGCACTCTGGCAGTGAACGATGTCATCATAGTAGGCTGAGTTGGATTGTTTGCGTATATGCAAAACAAAGAAAGAAATAAAGTTTGTGTTTCTGTTTTTAAGTACTTGATATTTCATTGGAAACAGTATATCTGTTTTATCCTGGGGCCTGGCCTTACTCTTCTGAAGCATTTTGTGCCCTGTTCTCAACTTTCCAGTGTGCGATTTTTAATCTCAGGCATTTTCATTTGTAGATGATGGTACTGCTGGAGTGAACTTGGAGCCACTGATGTTCTTTCCCCCTTTTCTTTCTCCAGTTCTGGGTCATGGTAGGGGAGGGGCTCTTGGTGGGATGACCCAGGCTGGGTAAATTTGCTCCAACCCTTAGTTATGCATGTAAGAACCCTCAGGCCCACTCCTTTAAGCTTAATCCTCTAAATTCTTTGTCTTGTAGGAAGATGACGATTCAGAGACTGAAAAACCTGAGGCTGATGACCCAAAGGTATTTGGTGTTGGCTGTGGTGGGTGGCTGGATGCGAACAAGGCATTGTAACAGTATGGCTCAGTTCACGTATCTGGTCATGGTCTGTCCCAATGACACACTGTGCAGCCGTGTGCAAATATTCTGGGATGAAATCAGTTTATTGAAGAAACCTGGAGACCCTCTGGAATGAGTAAGTCCTGAAGTAGCCTGGACCCCAGCCTTGCAGTTAGTGCCAGATCTCCAGACTAGAGAGGCTAAAGACCTGGCTACGGGCAGCAGCCTACATGTGCGCTGCATCCAGGTGGGCTTTGTGGTATCACTGCTCCTGTAGGTGGGTTAGATGTGGGAATGTCTCCAGAGTCAGGAAGCGTTAAGGGCTGCCTTGTGTACTCTGGGTTCTCTTTGGTTGTCTAGAAGTGAAGAAGGGCCGGAGAGGGTGAGACATAATGAGGCCTGTCCTTTCTGTTGGGGATGCTGAACCTAATCATTGTTTCCCAGGTTTGTGTCCTTCCACTCTTGGGTAGACCATACAGAACGGGAAACAACATAGCCATTTCTTCTTAGCGGTCCATCCCAGTAGCAGCTGAGAGTAATTAGCAGTGTTTCCTGTCATACTCCTTGACCCTATTGTGATAAAGGTTAAGAACTGCCCCTTGTGGTGGGGAGGCTTGCCATCCTGTGCGCTGGGCATTAGTACAAGTGTGCCTGTCGGAGAAGCATTCTTTAGGGACAAACAGCAGGGCAGAAATGGAAAGTTTGAAGCTCAAGTCTATGGAATGAAAAGTTTTCAGGGAACAATTTCTGTTCCTGTTGGGGAGCCGGAGCTGGCATCGCACTGTCTTCCAGATGGTGGCCTCCATCAAATCCTTCTGTTCTGGAACTCTCCTGGCACATTGAAGTTTTATTTCAGTTGATATTTACAGTATTTGTGTATTCTAAACCTTTAATTTTGAGTATTTCTGCCTTAAGTATGTGAGGTTTGTAACGTCATTTGTTAGCAAATGGATTGATGTCGTACGTGTCTTTTTCACTAGATGGCACTCCTTCCTGCTTTGGCTTTTTCAGATCTGCTTTTCGTTTTTTACTATAGCAGCTCTCAGAGCATTTTGGTTCCTTTACACAATTAAAAATTAGGATCCCAAAGAGCTTTTCTTCATTTTGGCTTTATCCGTTTACATTTATTTTCTCAGAAGTTGAAACTGAGAAAAATGTTAAATATTTATTTTTAAATAACAAACCTATTGCATATTAACATAAATAACATTTTTATGAAAAATAACTGTTTTCATAATAAAAGAAAAGTTAGTACAAAGAGAGGCATTGTTTTACCATTTTACAAGTTTCCTTAATGTCTAATGTCTGGCTTAGTAGAAAGCTAGGTTCTCATAACTGTTGCATTCAGTCTATTGCAATATGTTTTTTGGTTGAAGTATTTGTAGAAACTTTGTCTGCACACAGACAGGTCATTTGAAAGAAAAGTATTTTAATAGCTATTTGGGTACTTATGGATATTCTTCATTGATACTTTATCAAAACTCAACAGGTGGTAGTTTTCTAAAGGTTAGTTGCAGTGTGGAATGTGAAGCCTTAGCAATGAACCTTTGTGCTCTGCTGCATTCAAGTCCACAGTCTCTCTTGCACCTTGAATGGCCCTTTTACCCAGACATGATCTACATCATTGAGCATTAGTGATTTGGAAAACGTTGGTTCACTGACTTATGCAGATCTCCTGAATATTTACACGTTTTGTTCTATAATGACGGAGGGAAATCATATTTGTTGGTGACGTTACTGATTTCATCAGGCAAGCCATTAAGTATTGGGAAGCTGTCTTACTCACAGTGGGGGGTACACATTTTCCCCAATTCTGATTTTTGCTGGAGAGCTGGAATGTTATCATTGCCAATAAATACTCTCAGTTTTCCTCGAAGTGACATGGCAGGCTTTGTTTTTGAGAAAGTGTCTGCCAAACTCCCAAATCAAAACAAGCGTAGTCTGTCAGTTATTCTTTCAAGTACAAATGGTGTTCCATGAAGAAAGCAGCTAGTTCAGTTTGGAACTCAAGTAGTCACATAGTGCTTTTCCTTGAGGTGACCAAGTTTATGCAGACCTCTCATGTCATCATACAGATGCTAAAAAAATGTTGTACTCAAGGATCAAGGACATTCGAAAGTGAAATTGACTTTTAATTGAGCTTATGACTCCTGCTAGACTTTGGTGTTGCTGCCTTGATTTATTCTAAAGGGCCAACAACTGCCCTATCTGGTTTGGCTCAGCAGTCAGAGCATTGGCCTACGGACCAAAGAGTCCCAGGTTTGATTCCGGCCAAGGGCACATACCTTGGTTGCAGTTTGTCCACAGTCCCTGTTGGGGTGGTGTGGGTGGCAACCAATCATTGTGCCTCTCTCACGTCGATGTTTCTCTTTCTCTCTCTCTCTCCCTCTCCCCCTTCCACTCTGTCTGAAGATAAATGTAAAAATATCCTCGGGTGAGGATTAAAAATAAAAATTAAAAAATAAAGGGCCAAGAAGTTGACCCACCATTGCCCCCTGTAAATGTCAACACAGTGAAACAGGTACACAATGTCTCAGGACTATGAAAATAGTTTTGATCATGCAGACCCCCAGGGGTCCACAGATCAACTTTGAGAATCACTTGTTGTCTTCAAAAACAAAAATCTTGGGTGGGTGATATCAGATAACTGTGGTGACTGCATTCATTGCTCTGTTTGTGTCCGGGAAGCTGTTGCTGTTGGCCTCGGGGCCTTGAGCTGTGTGGGGCAGTAGAGCATCCAGAGGAAGAGGCGACAGCCCAGGTGGTGGGGAGAAGTTAAAGCCCTGGAGTTCGAGGCCTCGGTTTGAATTACAGCTGTCCTTGGGGAAGTCCCCACCTCATGTTTCTCATCTGGAAAACAGGCATCATGAGAAAATCTGCCTCATTTGTCTTATGAGACTTAACTAAGTCAAATGTGAATAAATGCCTGGCTTAATGGTGTTTGGCATTGTGTGTTCGCTAGTGTTAGGCACAATGACCAGTCTTCTGCTCCCTTCCTGGGCTGGTCACACATGAGCCGGTTTGGGAGTATTGAATTCCTCCTTTAAACTGGAGGGCACTCAGAGGGGAGACATCTTAAAGGCGAGGGGACCTAAAGCCATGTCATGAGAGGAGAAGTTTCGGAGCTGGAGAGCTGGGGGCTGTCTGCCGTTTGAAGGTCTGGTGAGGGGAGCGAGGCAGCCGCGAAGCAGCGCACAGAGCACACGGCAGACGTTCGCGTTCATCGAACGGTGATGTTCTGTTATCTCTGGCCAAAAGTGGGTCGAGCTGCTTCGGGAGGTAGTGGCTCCCTCTCTGTTCCTGGACCTCTTTCAGACAAGGTTTAAGAAACCATTTGTCACCCTGACTGGTTTAGCTCAGTCGTTAGCGCATTAGCCCAAGTACCGAAGAGTCACGGGTTCAGTTCCGGTCTAGGACACATACCTCAGTTGCAGTTCAGTCTCCGGCCCTGGTCAGGGTCGTGTGGGAGGCAACCAGTCAGTGTGTCTCACATCGATTTCTCTCTCTCTCTCTTTCCCCCTCCCACTCTTCTCTGAACATAAATGGAAAAATACTGTCAAGTGGGGGTTAAAAAAAAAAATTGTCGAACACATTCTAAAAGAAATCTGTGGGTTGGGGTTGGACGAAACCCAAAGGGGTTTGCTGGAGAAAGACTTGGGCATTGTGGATGCGCAGAGTTGAGTTTTCTCTAGCTTCATTAGCTGTTGGCTTTAGAGAGTCATCAAGGGTCGAGTACAAAGACTGGGAATTGCCCTCATGCTTACACTCTGATGTTTGGGCTCACCAGTGAGTGCCAAGTCCCATATTTGGGGACTTGAGTAAGAAATGATAACTCCAGACCACCTCTAGGGAGCCTTTGGCCCTGATCCATCAGCCTGCGGTGTCAGGGATGCCAGGGTGGCTCTGGGTTTGCTGAGTTCACCCTGAACTAGGGAAAAGGAGGCTGGAGGAGGTGGCCAAGCGGTCCCCGGGATACAGTGCATCACATCTCTCTCTCACTTCAGTGATCTGGTCTGACCTCTTCAGTGAGCAGCCCGACTCAGATATTCTGATTACCCAACAGAAGGTGGCACTGCTGTCCCAGTAAAAGTCAGACAAGACAAGGCTGCCTTGGGTCCAGCTCCTCACTTCAGGGACAGGGTGCCTGATGGCTTAATTGTCTCCTCCGTCTGTTTGCCCTCAGCATGGGAGCTTCCACTTTTCACCCCTCTCCTCTTCCGTCTTTGACCTCGGTTGCCCTGGGACATTTTCCCTTGTTTCTTTTTCCCCCACGCACACAGGTCATGTGGATGAAGGTATTTCCACTCACTTACTGTCCCTGACACACCCTTCCTTTGAAAACAAACACGGGCACTGATGACCTGGCTGGAGAAAGCTGGAGCGGCCTGTCGCCAGCTACCTGGGAGGCCAGCTTCGCTGCGTGAGACAGGGTTGCCGGCCTCCCTGAGGCGCTGTGTCCAGCCTGTGACCCAGGGAAAGAATCCTGGCCCAAGGAGCAAACATCTGTCGAAACAAAGCAGTGTCTCTGGGTCAAGGAGGTGGCATGTGGAGAGGAAAAAAAAATGTTCCAGCATTTTTTAAAAGGCGTGTATAACCCCAGTTAAAAGAAAACATTTAAAAAATTCTTCAGGCCCAAAAGCCCTGCAGAAATGTGGAGTTCAGCGCTTGGAGCCAGTCCCTGGAGTCAGAGGCCTGGGCTGAGCGCTGGCGTGGCCTCCCTGCAGCTGTGGACAAGTCCACAGTGATCGTGACAGCAGGGCGGGAAGGTGTTTGTGAACATGCTCTGGCAGTCTTATCTCCAGCATCAGCTCTGGGTCTGAGACTCTCTGGGGCCACATGTCATTTTTATCAGATTTAGGGAACTATCTAAAATGCAGTTAACATTGCTTAACCTTTTCAGCCAAGTGAACTTGACCAGATGCCCTTGTCTGTGGGTCCGAAGTTGCCCCATGTCACTGCACCTT